CCCAGAAACCAGTACTGAATGAAATTTGTTATTCGTACGTCGACGCATTTCATAAGCCAACGATATATTTCAACCACTACACAATGTCTCAGTGTGTGCGACACACACACCTTTGCACGCGCACACGCTTATCTACAGTGCTTTTTAGCCCGCGCACACCCGCCAATAAAGATAGAAGATAAATCATTCCCCTCACATAACTAAGAGAGTAAATTGAGAAAAACATGGAAATAAAAGCGAGCATGAAGAGAGTATGAAACTGGAACTCTTATTAAGATTTAAACAACATTACATGTCAACTCTATGTTACAATAAATTGCCTATCTGGTTAACTTATCATTAGCCACCACTGTGAATTTACTATTATAAAATTTATTTTTTAAATATAAACTAAAAAAAACACTCGCGATACATTTGTGTTTACAAAATTGCTATGCTTTTGCAAAGAACTAGTCACAGCATTTTTCGTAGTTTATTATTTCTTTGTATTCGGATAAAGTACATAGGAAAAACACAGAAAACAATCTATTGGATTTGGCACAATATATATTTAAAGTGAAAAATAGCAGTTGCTTATTGATCAACATAAAAATAATAATTGCAATATAAAATAACAGCTATTGGCAACGCGTGAGTTCGTTAAATACTCTACATTACACCCAATTCATTTTCAAATATATTTCTTCTCTTATTACGCTGTGCAAAAATCTCTTCTATTCGCGATTTATTCATTCGTTTGTTCGTTCTCCATATGCGCATACATATGGCAAGCATGTGTTTTGTCACTGTTGGCATTCTTTTAGAGAAACGTAAAAATGCAGCAATACAGAAAAGCCAACAACCGCTGCTGCGAAGCGACTTTTTACTTTTTACGCTGTGACCGACCAATCAACCGAAAGGCCAACAAAACGGCAAAACAGCACAGTCGACGAACGAAATAAACGAAGGCGTAATACATAATGAGCAGAGCAAACTCAGCGCCAGCTAAATAAGAAGAGCAAACAACAAAAACTATATCACATACCAAAGTGCAGGAAAAAGAACGTAGCAAAATGAGATGCACATACACATATAAAGCTAATAACATTAGCAGAGGCGTTACACTTATATACGTAAGGGGATCGAAAGGGGGCCGGTTGTACAGCTCTGTTTCGTGATCAATCGCATCAAAGTGGACTGCATAAAATTTTAACAGTATTACATATAAAATTTATGTTAAATAATAATTATTTAATATTCATTCATGTTTTGCGGCTACAGGTGAAAACAAATAGATACGATACACATATACGAAAATGTGTATTTACCACAACACTGTAGGATTCTACATTGTCAGGTGTAAACAAATAAGCTAAAACCAAAAACAAAATGAATTAATTAAACAAAGTAATATGGCAGCATGCGTCAGTCAGGCATTGCATTCACGACTGTTTAGTATTTGCTGATCTAGATTTTCAGATTTAAACCAAAGACCTCAAATTATAAACAAATACTAGTCGAGTATGATGAATCAAAAATCAAGGAGATTGTGCGGAAAAATAGCAATTATTCAAACGTGCTTTTATTTTTTAAATTTTGGAAAAATAATGAAGTTGTTGGAAAAGTTTTTAATTTACAATTCAAATTGCATACATTTTTACTATAAATATGGGGACGCAAATTTTGTCTTATTTTTACTTAATATTTTTTGCATACAAGTACATACAGTTTTCAAACACTATACAAGTAAGCTTTTTATTTAAGACGGCTAACTTCGTGCGAACGCATTGCATCTTCCTTTCGCGCATAACCGCCTAACACATCATGAACTTTTAACTAAAAGCCACTGAAAACCCGCAAATGAGAATTGAGTTTAAGTTTTTTGTTTTCTATCTTTCCTTGAGGCGCTTGCGTTCGCACTTTCTTTTTATTAGGGTGGTATTTTATAGGATATACAAAGAGTATGAAGCAGACAAATGGCTAGTAGTATACACAAATATACATTTTGCATGTACAGATGTTAGTTCTTCACAGTACGAGCATTTTCCGCAAAGGCAAGCAAGTGAAGAAAAGTATTACATTGTAAGCTATGATTGCACGAGATATATGGCACATACAGATATATATGTATATATATGTACATACTTATAACTCATAAGAAGATGAGAAAATATAGAGTACACTAGTAAGGAGCGGCAAAAACGTATGGAAAAGTTAACTTACATTTTCTTGCTAGATGTTTGATCACGACGTGAACTACTGCTGCTTTGGCAAAGTCGATCTGCACTTTTCTGCTATTTCGACACAAGTTTTTCCTTTAACCATTAATATGCGAATAGTTAGATTTCCAACGACCTTGGTAATTACTTCGAGATATATTACAATAAAATTTTGTATTGTCCAATTTGTAAATGGTGTAAACGCGCACGCACTTCCTTTTGCTTTCTGATGTTAGTTTCTGAACAGCGCGCACTGTTGGTATATACACATAATAAATTGCGTAGCGAATTTTTTCGTTTCGTGTTCTCTGTTATTACTTCAAATTTTTCAAAATGAATTTTCACAGCACATGTAGTTTATCTATTTATTTTTGGTATATGTATTTCGCTTGCTATACACTTGCAATTTTATGTATATTACTATTTGTTTTACCGATATTCTTCACATATCTTAATCTTGATTTTTTTCTGTATAAAATAAATTTCAGTATCTGTATTGTGATATACACCTTCTAACTTTTTCGCTGTCGCTGTAACTGACTGTGGCAATCAGCCAATATTTCTACCAACTAGCAATGAAGTTGAGTTTCCTCTCCACTAATGAAGCGAATAGCCAAGAGCAGCAGCAACAAACACGTCCACCCTAAATGAATGTTCGAACCAAACAACTAGCGAGCGCCATAAAAAACTAAACGGAGCCATAGCCATTGAAGACTGAAGACAAAACACCGCAGCCGACGGCACAGTCGGCAAAGCCGCTGAGACATACTCTCTTTGCTTTGCTGATGAGCAACCGTTTTAAATCTTATGGGGGGGGCTAAAATAAACGAGAGAGAGGAGTAGAAATATGTAAACATAACAGACTTGAAAGTACATGTGTGATGTTTGATGCCACTAATTTTGTTCGAATGGCTTTAAAATGTAGATATTAATTGTAAATGCGAATATTGTTTGGCCTGTGAGTTCGCATTCGGATGAATATACATATCTAATTAAACGAGTACAAGCGGAATTTATTTAGTAAAACTTTCTCATTTGAAAAATAAGCATGTATAATGGTATAATAATGAAAATAATGAAATTAATTAAGCCAATGTGTGTGAACAATCACAAATTGAAATCTATAATTCTATATTGTGAAATGATGCTTCGATAGTAGAAACCAAATCGAACCAAAGGCACTCCTCGGCAGCATTCCACAAAACTAGCACAAAAACACTACTACAAGAACAATAATGCAAATTTCGAATTGGAACGCTGATATATGTATATCACGACAACCTTACCAGAACCGGAAAAATTAAACCAATATGCATTTAGAAGAAGTGCACCGTTCCAGGCTGCAAATTTATCGCCCTCGAGTATTAACTTTTAACTAATATGTGCTGCTGTCTCATTTTTATATTCACAATACGCTTCATGTAATATAAAAGCTGAATAAAAAAGTGGAATAAAAACACTTTCTACTATTCTGACCCTTAAATAAATTGCGTGAATTTCACCAAAAAAAAAACCGAAAATGAATTTAAAATATTACACATTCGGTATGGTCATGGTCTTAAGTATAACGGAACCCATTTATCTTGTATAAATCTAGCATACAATATAAAATTATTGGAATCGAGCTTCGGTCAGTCATTGCATTGCTCAAAGCCTAATTTTCATTTCATCAATTAAAAACGCTCACTATTGAATTGCAACAACACTCAAACAAGCTCTTGGCAGCTGCAAGAAGTGGCGAGGGCAACTGGTGACGTTCATAGGCATAAGTAAGAGGAAATCAGAAGAGACTTGCATACGAGTGTACAAATTCGCGATCTATTTAGCATGTAGCCTTGGATGAGTTGGGGGGCGGGAGGATCAACAAGCAACGGTTGCATAGTATGCAGAAATGAATGAATGAATTAAAATGACTGTATTACCTCACAGTCAATGTGCAAATATGTATGTGTATATGTGGGTGGTGGCAATATACTACAAACTCTCGCCAAGATGCACCAACCAGTGCAGTTGCGGTGCAGTGGGGAGGCGTCAATACATCCTCATATGTAAATAATGATGCAGTTGTTGCCTATGTATTGTTAGCGTATGCTTATAAACGTGCCGTTGAATGCGTAAATACTTAGCATTTTTTCTCTCAAACTGATGAGTGCTTGAATGAAACGAATGGAGATGCTGTATCAGAGCACAACGATTGTCTGCATTTTTTTACTGATAAACGGAAGTGGCACTTATGGGTGGTTCCCTCGCCAACGCCACTACTATCTTCGTCACTATAACCAACAAGTTAATGTAAAGCAATTCGATTTGTTATTTAGGGCGCGTCAGAGGTGAATTTGCAAGAATGTACTTCCTGTCACAATTTATTTTCAGGCAGGCCTACATATCGGTTATTTTAATGAAATATAAATTTTAGTGCTTATATTAAGTATTTTTCAAACATAGCTAGTTTTTGTATTGCCTATTACATTTGTTATATTTTTTTTAAAGGACTCAAGGAGGAACTCAAAATTCTTATAAAGCCAGTTTTCTTAATATATTAGTTATACAAATTTATGGAATATTCATATATAAAATGAAAAATATCAAGTTTTTATTCTACTAAAGTATGGTTTACTAAAGTACGGTCTTTGAAAATTAGCAGGGTAAACTTAATTGAAAGTTGTAATTCATAAATTGTAGAATGTGAGTGTATGTAACATTAAATTAATTAATTTCAATAAGCCATCCAATATTTTATTTGAAATTTAAATGTTTATAAAAGTAATCGTGTTCAACAAGATAACATCGCAAATCACTTACCGAGTCTTTTCCATAATCAATGCCTTCTGAGAATAATTTTCTTTTAAAGCAACAGCAACGCACTCAAGTACTGCTCCAGCACTGCTTGCGCCAAAACAGCTCCATTTTCTACAGCCAAGGAATATGCGGTATCGCCATTCTCATTAGTGGCCGTCATATCCGGATCTTTGGCTAATAATTCGTTGCAGGTATGTGGGTGATTTCCCGCTGCGGCATACATTAACGCCGTGTTACCGACAATATCCATATGTGTAGGGCGAGCACCATGTTCCAGCAACAAACGTACCACCTCATTGTGACCACCACAAGCTGCAAGCAAAAGTGGGGTTACCATTTCCGGTGCTTCTGCATTCACATCAGCACCAGAATCAACAAGTAAACGTACTGCAACCAGCTGACCGTAGTAGGATGCCCAGTGAAGGGCAGTAAATCCAGTAGTATCTTTGAAATCAATATTGTGAGCATTCCGCTCGAATTCTACACGCACTTGATCATCGGTGATCTCACCTTGACCGGCACGTTCGTGGAATGACAATGCCACTTCCACTGGGCAAAAGGTTGCTTCAGTATTTCCGCGTTGCAAGTTTGTAAGTACAGTGGCATGTGGACGATATGGAAGAAATGCGCTTTTCCGTTTTGATGCTCCACCACTAACTCCACCGGCGCTAGAATGCAATGACGTGGGTGTAGATAACGGTGTGTTTGAATTAGGTGAAGGTGTGTCCGCGTTGAGTTGCATATGCCATTTCGATCTACAACATAAAAATGTTTCAGAATTGTTACAAACTTTCTATATAATCATAATTAAATAGTCGTCTTATTAAAATGCTAAATACATATTTCCAGCCGAATTTTTTTTTTTTTTTTAAACCCATTTAAAAATGAAAATATAATTCAAATAAATACAAAGTGAAAATTTCGAAGCAGTTGAATATTAAATTATGAATCTTTAATGTTCATTTTAAACAAAAAAAAAAAAACAAAAGCACAAAGCTGGCTAAAGATTAGTTTGCTCAAAGTTATGTTATTGAGTATTAAATGCAAATAGTTGGCAACGCTTCCTAACAAAGTGTTTGCATAACAGATATGTATTCGCCAACATTTGCGGAACAATGTCCTTAACACCAACGCTTTTTCCTTAAAATTAAATTAAGTCATAGCATAAAGTGTATATACAAACAAACATCATGGATTACCATTACGTCTTTATTACTTCACCATATAATTTTTCAGTCAGAGAACTAACGAAAAGACTTGGTTGCCTTTATCGTCATTAGCGGCAAAGTTTTATTTTGCAGTGAGAGCACTGAACCAGAGAACTTAAAACAATGAGAAGGTGCAAATTGAATTTTGTATGATGCTCGATTGGTTGGCTGAAAATTTGAGATCAAGGAGTTCACCACTTTATGTACAGTTTTGCTGTTATTTAACAGAAATGAGAATGTTAACAACGTTCTCTGACAAAATACGTATCTACCAATATAAAGAGAAAAATGAAATGAAATGAATGAGAAAACAAGAAATACAAATGCCACTTCACATATGCATGATTATTTTTTGCGACATAAACGATTTTTATGATGAAAAATTGATAAATTATTATTATTTTGCACAAATGCTACATTGATAAAATGCGAAAGATTATGCAAAAAATGATATTTTACTATTTTCATAATTTTCTAATTTCAATTTTTACAGAATTAATAATTTATGTATGTACATCAATATGTTATATTATATAATATAATAATATATTATCAATTATCAATAAATACATGTGAGCGCACTGCTCTATATGTAAGTATGTATGTACAAATATGCATATGACCGCGCAAAATAAGTAATGCATACACAAATCTACATACATTTAAGCGTACAAATGTAAGTACGTCAGCCAATAAGAAAAATACAAACATTGTTGTACAAAAACAACAATTGTCTCAAATAGCATCAGCACCAGAAATCAATATGGCAGCCAAATTGACAAATCCTAAATTTGTAGTAAATCACACACCAACAACATTTTCATTCATGAACGCTGGCGCACAAGCAATAAGCTAAGTCGTTTCATTCATAAAAGCAAACGCCTTACACATCTCCCCGAGCATGCGTTTGCCTACAAGCGTCTTTTCGCGACGATGGCAAAAGCTAAAAATCATAAATTGAACAAATTTCTGATATTCCCTCTAGAAGGGAAAAGTGACAACCCCTCAAATATGAGTATTAAAATATTTTAGAATAAAAGTGACAACATAGTAAATTTGTCGATTTACAATTCAAGAAACTTTTTAGAGAAAATATTCAATATTCCTCTGATTTATGTATACAGTAAACCCCGGTTAAGTATCACTCCTCCAATTCCTCTTATCTGCCGGTGTCTTGCTGCATCTCACTTTTTTTTCTTAATTTTTTAAAGAAAACGGTAATTTTTTTTAAATACATAGAAATAATTTTTTTTGGTACCACTCGCTTAAGTACCACAATCGCTTATGTACTACAAAGCACAAAAAATCTGCATCTTTGGTTTTGGCACTTAACCGGGATTGACTGTATTTGTCAAAGAATTTACGTAAGTACGTTTGAATTTTTTGTACACACATTGACTTTGCACTTGCCCATATGCGATGTATGTTTGTAAGAGTGTGTATGGCACATCTCGGATTTTCTACCAACAACACAATGTTGTGACGCTTTGTCGTCGCGTCAGTTCTTCGACAGATTGACTCTTTGACATAAAAGCAAAAAATGTGTCAACGGAGATTTCACATGAAGTAATGAGTGTACATATCTACATAAAAATACATACAAATGTGTAAACGACATAATATATGTATGTATGTCCAATCGAGCATCATACAAAATTCAATTTGCACCTTCTCATTGTTTTAAGTTCTCTGATATATGTATGTCCTGTTACATATGTTTACACATGCATTTGAAAAGAAAAATTGAAGCATGAATGTGAAATACCGACGGCAAAACACAATTCTGTACTTTTATGACTCCATAATGGTGTCAAGTACAATTAATGAATTATTTTAAGAAATATATCAAAATACTTTATTAGTAATAATTTAAAAGTATTTTGATATATTTCTCATAATAAAGTAAAAATGAATTAACATAAAATAATTTAAAAAATAATAAATAATAGTTCAATAAAAGGAATATGTTTCAAATAGCATATCAATATTCCCAGTTTGGCATACATAGTATATTCTCTTCAATATTCGCCGTTTGGTAATGTTAAGAGAGCGTATGTTTACAGATTCACCGCTGATATAAAAGCGAAAAATGTTATTTGTTTCTCGTGCATCTGTGGTGAACTCCTTGATAAATTCCTACAAATTGTTCGCTGTCGAACCTGCACCTTCTCATTGTTTTAAGTTCTCTGACTGAACGTTCTCTTTAAATCAAACAAACCCCTTATACGGTGAACAATACAATTTCCCCAACTCACAACTTACCGGCTCTGTTCGTCATCTGAATTCGAATTGGTCGCAGGCGAATTTGCCGCTGAAGACATGTTCGAGTGTATGTCTGTACTGTTTCGATTCCCCGCTGTACTGTTATATTGTGGGTTTTCTGTCCTCTTCACACTCCTGCACACAAGAGCGCCGACAATTCGAAATAGCTAGGCGGACTGGGCTATCTTTTCGAACTTAAATGTGAATGAACTGCAAAGAATGGGAAACAATCAGATGAAAAATACAACTGGAAGCACTAATAAAAGAGAAAACCAAACACATAAAGAAAATACAAGAACGGAAGACGAGCAAAATGGCATTAAAAGCGAGAATGTGATGTCTTTCAAGTACGTCAATAAACTGCGCGCCATTTTTCGCACCTTATCCCACAATTCACCCTAAAAAATCATGTATGACCAAATTTTTTAATAAAACTTTGCACAACATAAATGCTTAATGCGTGTTAACAAATAAAATTAACACATTTATATTATAATATGCAGTCACAACTGTAGCGGCTATGAGCAAAGCCGTTGTAGTTGGCGAAAAATCCGAACACGATGCCATGGATGAACACTCCCCGCCCATAGCCGGCACCAAACACAAAAACGCAGTTTGCAAATACACTTTATTCTAATACATACGAATTTAGGCGACAATGAATACCTATTTCTTATACGTTAACAACTTCTAAAGTTTTGTAATTTCACTTATTTGTAGTGTATACTCACCAGAATTTAATTGAGAAATCTGTAGTATTCGCCGACGTTGCTGTTGTCTGAGCGCACGGAAGAGAAAATGTGCAGAGGCAAATTGGAAAAAATGTGGAAATATTCATTTTTCATTTGGATTGTGGATATCGACAAATGTGTATTGCGTGTGAAATGGAAGCTGTTTTGACCGATTTTAGCAGAGACAAACACTTTTTTTACGTCAATGCAGCAAAGACCGTAATCTAAAGCACAGAGTCCACTTTATACACACGTTCTTAGTGACATTTCATTCCCAGAAAACCTACGTTCTTACCATTATTGCCAGGCTTAACCGTCGAAATGTGGCATTCCACAATTGCTGTCAGCTGTTCTCTGACAAAAGTCAAATTGTACGACTGTGGAGTAATTTAGTAGACAATTTTTACGAAGGCTTTGAAAACATAAGATTTGAATACGCGTTTCTTTAAAAATGTCGGTACCGTTTACCGTGCGGACACACTCACGTCAAGTATGCAGTCTATACAAGAGAGCACTACGTAATCTGGAAGCGTGGTATGACCGCAAGTATGTTTGGTCCCAGTTTGAGAATGCAAGAAAGAATATCCAAAACAATATTATGTAATATACCATAATTTCTAATTTCCTTTTACATTACGTTACTTTTCAGAAATATTTTCCGGTATAGAGCGGTTTTGCTGCGCCAACGATTTGACAAAAATCGTTGTGTGACCGACATGGCGGAAGCCTCTCGCTTGTTAGCGGCTGGCGAACAAGAATTGTTCGAGAACAAGCATTTCCAGCCTAAATACTGTAAACGATAGATGTTGATCGAAATCTATAAGTAGGATATAATTTTGATTTTGTTTTTGCAGTTGCCAATAGTGTTGGTGGCTGCGCCTTCGAACGAGAGGTAATACCACCAGATTGGGTTCTCGACTACTGGCATCCCTTGGAGAAAGCACAGTATCCAGAATATTTTGCCAAGCGGGAACAACGCAAAAAAGAATTCGTTGTTTGGTGGGAAAAACAGTACGGCAAACCAGATCCAAAAGACCTAGGTCACCATTAAAGAAGCATTGCATTAAATCTTGAGCTCAATTAAAAACGAAAGAGCTGATTTAATAAGTACCGAAATATAAACTGCATAAGTAATAAAAACCTGCAAAAATTAAATTGCTTCTTCATATATAAGATGATAATTGGCTAGTACAAGTTGATTGTTAGATAAAATGTTGCAAAGGAGGATCGCTTTATCGCCGAGCAGCAATTTCGAACTTTAATAGTAGAATAACATGAAATACGAAAGACAAAATATTTAGGATAAAATCTAGTCAGTTTATATATTAAATACAGAAAAATTAAGGATACACCCTTATGTAATCCTTGTATAATATGATACATTTTATTCAGTCAGGGAGACGTCTGCTCAATCACTATCAAATAAAACTCAACTAGTTGATGCGTGCATGTATGAATTTAATGTTTAGTACAAGTTATTTCCAAGTTTCCGTTAATGTGAGTTGCGACTTACAAAATTGCTTATATTCAAATATTTAGAAAATAATACCTTAACAACTAATGTGTAATGGCTAGGTGTCTATTTGCACCATATTTAACAAGCTGAAAACTATTGTTTGGATGTTTGTACAGAACCCCTTTTTACAAGGATTTTAAAATTATTCAGAAAAATATATATTTAGTTTGGGTTAAAGTTACCGATTATAATTCGTTGATTTTGTATAGCATTAAGGAAAATGCTATACAAACAAAAAATTTGTTTAAGTGTTGTTTTTTTAATACAAACTAAAAATAATTAAATTCTTAGTAAATTATTAAATAAATTTAGTAGACAGCAAGTTGTCATATTCTTAAGCGCATCCCAGACACAATTTGATTATTCGTGCTGCGCTCGATGCCCCGCCCACTTTACAGCTCACAATCCAAAGTGTTTTAAGCCAACTGGTTTATATCTAATCGTGGACGCTTTTTACAACTATTATTCGCTGTACCATTTCCTACGTTTGCATCGCCGTTAGTGTGATCACGTTTCCGAGGTAATGTCTTCTTGTCCCATTGTTGTTTAAGATATCTCAATAACACGCATCGTTTATCCATCACAATGTGCTGCTCCGATGGCACATCTTCTGTAGGTAGATATACGGAAGGCCTTTTCTGTGATGTACGAAGTCCTTGTTCCATATTAAATTGCGAAAAGTTTTGTGCATTGTGACTCGGAAGGTCCTTAAGAAATTCTGCTACAGACATCTTTTTTGTTTGGCAATTGGAAGAGTTTCGTTATCCAAGCCGTAGCCGTTAGCGTAAATGCAACTGGGCGGGTTGAAGTAAGGGTAACAATTTTATAGATACCAGTCGAACTTTCGTTTTCGCGTGCTTATTATTCACTGTTGTGTCTTTGCGTTTAACCACGCAGTTTTGTTGTTGCAACAGCAACTCGCAACTTTTCGTATTTGAGTGTATTTGTTCAAAGTTATTTATCAAAATCCAAATTTCTAAATTAGTATGCAAACAAGGGAGTTGCGTTATTTCACGAAATAATTAAAGATTTTATATTTATATGCCAGAACTTCGCAGATTTTAGATTTTTGTGCGACTGCCAATGCCAATATATTAAGTTTGGTTGTTGTTCTTTCGATTCCGTCATTTGACACAGATATCTAATAAAAGACAGGGATGTTAACGGAAAACCAATGTTGCATTTCAAGTACTTTTAATAGTTTACTTTGACAAAATAATGTAATTGCACAAATAATTTGTTTATGCGATACATTTTTTATTTAAATTTGACGTTCTTATAAAATAGTTATGTAGTCCTTAAATACATTATTCTTACGTAGTAGCAAATAAGTACAATAAATTTTTGGCAAATTGTATGATTTCTGTTCCTCCTAATTTCGAAGAACCGTACAAACGATCTACAAACGTTATGGGCACTTCACCAATGCTGTAACCGTGCTGACGAGCGCGCACTAACATTTCCATTTGAAAAACGTATCCCTTTGAAACACAGCTGGCAATGCATTTCTCAAGCACATTCTTTTTATATAAACGAAAAGACCCTGTCAGATCGGAAGCATTTGGGCGCAGTAAAATTTGCGAAAGGAAATTAGCCCCACGCGATATCAGCTTGCGCTTGAAATCCCATCCAAAAACACCACCATCGCCGCAGTACCTTGTGCCAGATACTATGTCATAGTCTTCTTTCGCTTGTAGTTCAATGAACTTTGGAATGAATTTTGGCTATAAATGAGATATTAGTCTGGGCACAATTCGTTTTTATAAAATCTTAATACTCACATGATGACTTAAGTCTGCATCCATTATGATAATAAAATCACCTGTGGCATGTTTTATGCCGTGCATATATGCAGTACCAAGACCTAATTTAGACCCGCGCGGTCGAAGCACTATGGTCTCTTCGCCATAGATTTTTTGCAAATCTTTAGCAACATCTAAAGTACCATCGGGACTGCCATCGTCAATAATAATAATTTCGTATTTATAGTCACTGGAAGAAAGGAAATGGAATAATAATATAACTATTTAGTTATCGTTTATCACTTACCTTTCACTAAGATATTTCACGATTAGCCAAATGATAATTGGCAAGTTTTCTTTCTCATTGTATGTAGGAAGCAATATGCTGTATTTATGTTCACTTGTAGACATAATATATCGGTATTTAAATTATAATTAATAATTATAACGTTTTGATGAGCAGATAATAAAATTAAAGTTAAAATACTAAAATACTTCACCAGCTGACGTGTTCGGTGAATGTCAAATGTTCGAGTTGCCAACACATGCGTTTCTAGATTAAACATAAACATTGTATTAAATAGCCGGTTTTGCGAGATTTAAATTAGTAGAAAGTAATCGTCATCTGAAATAAGTGCTAGCTTATAAATTTAAGTCTTAAGTAAGTTATAATAGAAAATCACTTTGAACAATGCTCATCTATATGGCTGTATACACAAACACACACCAATACGAAAGGTGTAGCAAAACACCGCCAACGTAAACAAAAACAGCTGTTTGTGACATGACGCAAAAACACGCATGCGTTAATTTTGTTGTTACGCGAATGTCATGCGTGCTTTTTGACGGTAAAGGAATTTTAACAGTTGGCCACTATCTGGTAGTTGCATTTAGAACGGATACGTATTAATACCTTCGAAACGGTCGAAATTAGTGGAAAAGAGTACTTAAATGGGTGCACGGTGAAATTCCAGTACAAGGCTTCTTAAAAAGATCTTAGAAAAATAACAACAACAAATATTAAAATACAGCAAATATGTGAACAAATAGTTAGTATTAAAAAAAGTGCATTTAAAAAAGTGGGACAAATAAAAAGCAACCTCTAACTATTAAACATAATTAAAATCTCTACACATTTAAGCATCTTGTTATTGAGAAATTTCGCTGCAACGACGAAAAATGGCCAAAAAGATACCATTCAATGTTGTTTTCGCCACCGGTGAGTACCGTATATTAACTGATGATAAACGTAAAGAAAGGCATTTAACTGCTCAGCATTTATGTGGAAAATTCCGTTAGATGAACTCTACGATGCGTAATCATTTGGTTATGAGTATGGCAGCGTGTGGCTCGTAACTGGAGAAATCGATAAATCACGCCTTCCTGCCCCAACTGCCGTTATTGAGGCTACAGCCAGCCAGCCACTGCACTCATTTACATACGAAGAGTTTTTACGCTTTTATTTGGTACTTGAATATGCATTGTTGCACTTCGAAATGATTTTATAGAACGATTTTCTAATTGTAATGCTTGAGATTAGCAAATGGATAGCTATGTATGTATGTATGTATGTAGTTTATGTGCACTAGTTGTATTAATAATTATGCTTCCTTGTATTAAGTTCAACTTCTAACACTCTCACACATTTATTTTTTGATTTAGTGCCTTATGCGATGAGACACATTAACACTTCGCCAACGAAGTTCCGGGACACACAAAAACAAGCATATGTACATATGTAAGCAGATAACTATTGTATGTGTGTTGCAAACGCCATTTCTTTTGTAGTTTGTATGTGTACACCTGGCACTTGCCTTGCAGCTGGACATTTGTATCCTAAGTAATCGTGCTGCATAAATAATGTAGATGGTTAGATAGCAAACGACCTCTTTGTGTGCTTTGATTCGGACTTTTACTGTGCACAATTTTAGATTATTTATGACAGTTCGATCCATTCAGAAACGCACCTACGTAATGTACATATGTTGTACATAAATAAATGAGTAATTTTATTATAGAAAGCGTGTCTTAGGTCAATATTTAAGTTTTGATTATTTCGTTGCCATTAACTGTGCTATATTTGTCTGAAAGTGTACTCGTAAATAAATAAAATATTTTGTAAGAAATTGCGCCCAAAAGATGCAATGTGAAATAAATAAATATTACTACTGTTATAACTAGGCTAAACAATAAAACATGTAGACATTGTAGGCACATCAATGTTTTGGCAGCTGCCGGAAATTAAGTTTAGACTCCTTTGCTTCCACAGGGCCTATACATACATATATATGAAATCCGAAAACCCGAATGTATTAGAAAATAATTATTTGTAACATCCAGATGGAAACATGGTACATATAATATAAAGTATATATACATACATATATATAAATGAACAGCTTGACGAGTTGAGTCGATGTAGCCATGTCGGTCGGACTGTCTGTCCGTTTGTCTGTATATACGTGACTAGTCCTTAGTTTTTGAGATATCGCTCTAAAAGAAACTACTTATTTGTTGGAACCGCCGATATCAGATTACTATAGGATATTCAAATCAAGCCTTTGTATGGAAAACCTTTTTATTAACGAGCTCCTTTCACAAATTTTGGCATAGATTATTGCCCAAGGCAGGTCTACAATCTCAAAATAAGTTACTCATTTTTTTTTTTTTATTTGACAAAGTATCCTCACGAAATTGGGTAATCTATGATCCTTGGTAGCTTTTAAATTTCCGAACAAATTGTTCAGAGCGGACTACTATAGCATATAGCTGCCATAAAAATTGGTCGATCAAAGTAAATATAAAGATCTTTTTATAATTATTTATGTTATATAATGCAGCCGTTGTTTCTTGTTTAGCTGTGAGGTGGATAATTGTATTTATGAATGTGGGCAGGAATCGCCACTTCAATAAGTATCAGTTTTGATGAATAAAAAAATTTGCAAATAATCAACCGATTTCTCAAAGTAATAAATATTAATTACTTCGTGCCACCTACAAAATGGGAATTTTATTGCTTTTCCGACGGCTCCTTCCGTTACATGTTGCAGTGCACTTAGTGGTATATTAAATAAAATGCAAATGAAAAAAAATAATCTGTCACACATAACGGTAATAAATGTAAGTGCTTTGTGTATTGGCCGACATGCAATCGAGCGACACTTGTACGCCTAATGGTGTTTGATTTATGTACATACATATGTGCACCTGCATAGTTGGCAATTGGTGGGCTAGCTTATTGTTTGGACGCCCGCTGTGCGGTAGCTGCCTTGCTTGCCCATTTGTGTTCGATTGAATGCGCGACCAAAGCAAAGCCCTTTACATGCATGTGTCTCTCTTTGTGTGTGTGTGAAAGTATTTGTGTTTACATATTTGATTACTATCTACAAACACATGTATTTTTATATACTAATACATATATGTATGTGTGTTATTTTGTTTTCATGGTAGCCACACGTTACAAGTGAAGTGCTCAAATCGACCGCTTAATTCACTCGTTAGCGGCCGAACATGTTGAATGATGTAATAAGATCATATTTTAATTCTTAATTGAAAACGTTAAGCTGGTATTAGCCTTTATTCACATCCCATTTGTTGCCAACTCAGTAATTGTGTGTGGCGCGTAGCATACCTCTTGGCGTGAATGCACAGTCACTGCTGTAGGCAACCGTACAAGGCCGCCGAGATGCGCTCAAGGCCTTCTTTTGTAGATTTGTATGTGTTGCATTTCATTCAGTATTCATGCTGCAATCAGTAATGTTGGCACAACTTGTATCTGCTTTTTTTTACTTTTTATATTTTCTGGCCGTTGTAATCAAGTTAATCAAGAATTTTTGGCGGAGTGATATGATTGGTCTTCATAATTTAAGAATTTTTTCTCATAAGAAATTTAATATTATTACAAGCAGGTTGAGTTAAACCTTAGAATCGTTGTGAGCACTTAACTTAAGGAAGCTTGCCATAAATATTATATTTTTTTGTGAATTTTTAGTCTGAATTATTATAATCAAGATATTACAAATAAATCACACATATCGCGCCAGTTTTTATGCCCATAGTCGTGATTTGAGCTAAAAATCGATAAAGAAAAAACTTACAGTTATCTCATTTATGTGCACGCGGCAAAAACGAAACTGCATTATATGAAAGAAGTTAGTTTGGCACTTAAAGCCCATTTATTCGGCACGCCTCTGTCCGCACTCGCCACTCTTTTTCTACCCACTCTGCAGTCGCAAATGCCAACTTTTCATATCGCAGATAACTACTTGTGTGCACACACAGCGCATTTTATATCGAAAATGCCGCAAAATATGCAATAAAACTGCGCTTTAATTTTGCACTTAGAAATGCTCTATGTTATGATATATTTTTACAATATATGAGTGTGTGTTTATTGCTGTATATAGATTTAACTTGAATGCCGCTTTTTTACGCCTCAAATCATGCAGCAGACAGCTTTAACCCAAAAGTGCTGCATAAGTTACGGCGCTTGCCCTTTTTTACCATATTCTGCACACACACAGCTTGAATTATTATTTTACCGTTAGTTTTTTATATTGTATAATAGTTATATAACTGAATTGATATATGTATGTATAAAAGTCTGCTTAACGGAAGTCTTGTACTGCGCTGCAAGAGTTCATTGTCTATGCCTACATTCAGGCGTTTCCTGCCTGCTTTGAGGAAATGTAATGGTATGTAATATAGAATAATGTGCGTTTGATATGCGTTTATATTAGTTTGTCGCAGATATTTTGATAAAATGAAATGGGAAAAGTGCAGCGATCTCTTTTATCGTTTTTATCGTTTGCAAGTAATGTGTATTTGACAACGCTGCCTGGAGCTAGGCCAAGTTTTGCTTAGCGGTGAGTTCGACAAAGTGATATGTCTGTATGTAAGTTTGAACACACAATTTGTTGCAATAAACAGTTCCTTCACCTTCGTGGAGACTTTACCAATGCTACTAGAACTTAAGGTGGTTTCAGTCTGTAAGAGTTGGTTATTGAGCTACAAGATTTCAGAAATCCAGCAATTAAAAAAGTAATAAATATTTTGTACCAAAAGTCTTCTTAAAAAACCATATTTAAAATTTGTTTCTCGCTCTCAATTTTTTTTTTTACAAATTTGAATTGAAGTTACTTATTTTATTAAATATAAATTGCATTATGCGATCTGATCAAATTTGACTCGGACTTGCCTATTTAAACTGCGCACGCGAACCGAATCGATACAAATTTTTTTCCCTGGATTGTTACAACCTTTTTTATGTTCATGTGAAGATTGGTCTCCATATGTCAATTAGTGTGTGTTTGGCAGTTTACGACACACAAGGATTTTTATCGTAGAAAAAAAATTGAAACGTGTTTGCTAGAAATTTTTTGTTTCCAATGAAATCATGGCTACGGAATCGTTGAAAATGTTGCATAAGTGTTTTGAGGAGTATATTTTATAACAAAAACAAGTATTTGAGCGCCACAAAGGGCTCAATAACGGTCTTGAAGACGTCGAAAACTCCATTCACCTCTATCAATGATCGCATCGAAAAAGTTAAAGAAATAGTGCTTGAAAATCGTCGTGTTTGCATTGGAGAGATACCAAAAGATTTAAAAACCTCTTATGGATCAACTCAACACTTTTGGTTATTGTTTTGGGTCATCAAGCTTGTCAATGCCAGACTCGTACCAAAAGACCTGAATGCGCTGTCACATTCTAGTATCATTGTGACTGAAGAGAGTCATCGCCCAGCCTCTTATTCGCTAGATTAGGCTCTCATTGACTTTTTTTCTGTTTTCAGAACTGCAAAATCTGCTTCTGGTAACGCGGCATGAGTCTATTGAAGCCATGCTGACATGCTTGGATTGGCTCAAGAGGCGACTTTGAAGGCGATAAATTCAGCTTGGTTGAAAAGTTTCTGCGCTCAAAATGAAACAAATACTGTTTTTGGTACGAAATATATTTTTTTATTCAATATGATCTCCCTTAACACACTTATTCCAATGGTACACTTATTCCAATGGTCCTCTAATAATTTTATGCTATCCCTATAATGACTTTCCAGAAGCTCTGCAAAATGCCCGTCTACTGCTGTAATAGCTTCTTCATTCCACGCAGGAATTGTTTCAGGTTTCTGAAGAGTTAGTAGTCGCTTGTCTTTTCTCACGAATTTTTTCATTCAGCCAATCCAAAATTTAATAGTATTCAGAGTTGATTGTTTTACCTTTCTGCAGATAATCAATCAACCTTCCTTCCTTTTGCATCCCAAAAAAACTATGCTTTAACCTGATCGTTGTGACTTCACCTGCTTTGGAGCTGTACAACCAGCTTCAGTCCACTGTAAATGTTCTTGTTTCAATTTAGGATCATGGCGGTAGATCCAAGTCTCATCCAACGTTATATGACGCAAGAAATCGGTTTTATTCTTAAAACGCTACAAATTATGCTGAGAAATGTGTTTTTGAACCAGTTTTTGTTGAATTGTTAACATGTGCGCGGCACTAACTTTCCAAACAGCTATTTCATATGTAATTCTCCATGTAAAATATGAAGCTTATTCAAACTTTGATCTTCACTAACAATACTATGAACTTGCTCACGATTTCTGGTGTGGTTGCGGTTTTTGGTCGTCCTTCGCGTGTATCGTCTTCAAGCTTAGTACGACTACGTTTAAATTCACAAGCCCAAAATTCAACGATGCGTTTTAAAGGTGAGGACTCCTTATACACTTCTAACAATTGAACATAAATTTTCTTTGCTTTTAAACCTTTCAAAACAAAGAATCTAATCTCTGCGTGATATTTAATTTTTTTCCATATAAAAAAAATACTCTGACACGTCAACTTCAAATGGCTTGTAAACAAAAAATTATTTTTCAGAATGACTTGTAGCTTTGCATGTGTTCACAAGACAGATGTACCAACTTGAGAAAAAAAATTGGAGTAGTAGTGCTATTTCTTAGTGAGAGCATAAAATTATCAACCAACCTGTATTTGTGTTAGATCCGGGTCATATTTGATCAGATGGTATAAGCTTATAACTCTTCACATTTCACAATTTTAATTTTAATTCTTATCGCCACTGCTAAATACTTGTAATAAATTAAAATAAAAGTCAAACATCAAAAGGGCTTTTTTTCACTTTTTTTTTTAAATTTACTAATTACCTTCAAAAAAACTACGAGTAAGCATACTTAGTATAAGCATGTAGTAAGTGCTTATTTACGATGTGGCTTCCTATATTTAAGTTTGTCTAAAAATGAACGCATCGGCGCAATCATTGTGAAGATATACACCAAAAGCGTCGCCAAACTTAAGGCCGCAATAAATTCCGGATCCACATGTTTATAGGTGAACTTTGTGCGGTAGCCGATGAGTATGCTCCACATGCCCAGCGTAAAGGTGACCATACCAAAGAAATTGTGCCTGCATTTCACCACGGCCGGTGTGTAAAATTTATGTACGAAACTTGGTTGGAAATAGTTGACGATGCCGCCGGTAATACTGGCGAAGCAGAAGAATGTGGCAGCAAGACCTGGAAATTGCAAAGGAATTGTAGAATTCTTACTTCTTCGTGGCGCTACTAAACAGATATTTTGTGTATGTATATGTGTGTGTGCGTGTGTTGGTCGCTTATTACTTGCAACCTTGACTCTTACCTATTTTGCCATGCAACGTGGTGAAGTGCACTTCCGTCTGCGAGATTTTACCAAGCGCGCCCAGCAAAGCCATGGCACCACCCACCAATTGTAGGACACCGTGAATTTTTGATTTAGTGCGGTGAGCGAAACGATTCGTTACGAAGTTGATTGGATAATGTGACATGAGCGCTTCGGCCATTAAGACATGGAACTATTTTTATGGTTTTGTAAAATATTTGTGTGCGTGGGGTTGAAAGTAATACAAGTAGTAAAAGTTATTTAAAAATTTAGTTTTACTTGAGATTAAATTTGTTTGTTACATTGTCAGTCTCAAATTATTTGATGAAAAGTTTTCACGCTTTCTCATAGCTCGAAATATATGTTTTATTCCATATTTATTAATTAGTTTTAGTTTTGTTGACCAAAATATGACAAATAACCTAATAAATATCAACCTAAGCTTTTATAGTGCGAAATTAGTACTTGGTCTGTATACCACATTGGATAAGATAATTCTATTATTAAAATCCCCTTCCTCGTTTTCACACCCATTTATCAAAAAAGTCGTTTAAGTCGGTGTTGTGCCCTCTTGACTCTATGACCAGTCCTAATTATTGTTCTCATTCGAAACAAGCAATCTCTAGAATATTTATATGTATTCGGCCTAGTAAACGAAATTCATCATTATTTATAATGCATTAAAGTGATCGTTTTATTCAGCATGGTTAGAATTATTTAATTTAGCTGAGATATGCACCATTTGTTGTCATTTTGAGGGTAATTTTAAAATGCTACTTTCATAGAAACTTTAGTCCTAATTGGCGACACGGGGTTAGTCGATTTCTACAAGTTTCTTTTGAGGCGATTTTTTCCCCAGCAAAAACTTTTGCTATAACATAAACAGGTAATAATCACTTGATGCTAGGTTCGCACCATAAGGGGGAAGCTACCTAGCATACTAACCTCCTGGAGTTTCTGCCGAGTCACTATCGATGTGGACTGGCCACTTCTGGGCGATTGCTTCTTTCAATGCTTCACCCATACATTGAGCTTATTTTTCTACCCTGCTTTATCTAGATGGTATCATACGATATTTTGTGTCATATTTAGCTGCTGCGCAATCGGAACAGTGATTGCTTGATGGTCGAACTCGACTATTTCCATTATTTTATCGATATTATCGACAATTGAGCTTCCAGAGCGTTTTTCATCTTTGACATCAGCTTCGACGAAAGTAAAATTGCGAGCGATTGGATGTTATAGTATCAAGACCATAAACAGTATACACATTTTCAGCACTTGACCTAAGTTTTCGGCTTTTTCGAAAATAAAATGCAAAATCTCACTTACATCCTTTTGCTGGTGTCCATCAATTTGAGTACAAAATCTTATCTTTCTAATTTCATATTGCGAGATGCAGATTACTAAAGCCGTCTATTGAAAAAATAATGGATTTTTTTTTTGCTAGAACTAATATATGTATAACTAAGGCTATTCGAGACCTTTTTACCTTCTAATATGAAAAATTCTAAAACAAAAAATACAAGTCATTGCGAAAAACTACTCTTCAAAAGTACGGTAACGTTTTGAAGGTAAAAACACACAAAAAAATCTGTTTATTATCTACAATATATGAATTTCATCACCCGTGTTCGATAAGAATCTAATAATGCAAGTTTAAGTACCTTTCATGTAATAAAACTTTGAATGAAGTGGAACAAATTTGTTAACACACCTACATATATACATACAGAATGTAAGCCACTGCTAACATAAGAGACAACTCGAATATAAATGTCATACGTCTCACTCAATAGACCGCTAACATAAATAATAAAAGTCAATAATTCGATAAGATATGCATGCTTAGAAGCTATACGAATATCAAAGATTTGCGAATTTTCGCATGCTTTAAAATAAATAACATGAAAGTTAATTAATAGCTACTACAGTACGTGTGTAATAAAAAGTGCTGACAATCTATAAAATCTTGCGAACCCCTCTACGTACCCCAATGGTGGTTAGGAAGGCATGCATAGCGGTGTTTTGGAAGTCCAGACTGCGTCCCAAGGCGGTGAAGTAGACGCCAATTAGTGCGATCAAAATGTGATTGATAGTGTTGAGGAGACTTTGCAACTGCAGCCAAATGGAGTAGGGCGCTCTTCTCGACGATGACGTCGCCGCCGCAGCCGGCGCTCCTGTCTTAGGCACTTTATCACTTTTTGCTGACATTTTGAGCTTTTATGTTTCGCGAATGCGCAAAAAATTTCACTTTAAATAAGCACTTTTAAGTAAAAATGTTATTTGATCAAAACTAATTTGTGGCGTCAAATATTTGCCATATTCTCGTTAGCACGACGTTGCGTTCGTTGAAATGCGATGTGTGTTTGGAGTGTAACTAACGTGTATGCCAGAGATAAGGAGATGCCCAACCTGTTCTCACTGAATGAGAGCGCATTGATAAACGTCAAAACCCTACTGAACTCAAGCAACTGTCAGTTCAGTAGGTCTGACGTTTAGCAATTGGAAAAGAGGGACGGTCCCACAGAAAATATGTAAACGGAGAGATTTGTGCTGCTGTTGAAGATCACTAACAAAATTAGAAAACAATGAAAATGAAAGAAAACGCGAAATTGAAATGTTGATGATATCTTTGATGTCATGCTAAGTGGTATTGATTTTCAAATTGAAAATTTTTAAAACATTTATTAATTGAGAGCTAATACATTTATTCTTTTGATTACGTATTGAAAGTTCAAAGATCAATTGTTTAATAAATCACAAAATCACAAAAAAAAGAGTATAAAAAGTTTCTGCATATGTTTAACGGATACATGTATAATAATATTTAATCTTAATAAATTATGGGTATTTTAATTTAAATTCTCAAAAATTATTATTTTGTACCATCTGGCTACAATGGAAAATGTTATAAAAAACGCTAATTTTGAGGCGCTCTCACACTGGAAAGAGTTGGGCATCCCATTATCCCTGGTGTATGCGGTACGGCATTGATAAGTATATTCATTCTACACTTGTGCTTGTCTACTGCTCAGCTGATTGGATGTAGGATGAGGTGGAGGAGAGCGTAAGAGACGGGTTACATTATCAAGAGCACCAGAGCGAACCAATCGAAAAAAGTCCACGTATGAGCATAATATATGCGTGCCCTGTAGGGAGAGCTTGAACTAGTGGAAAACGAACTAGTAAGGTGTTTTTCAATTCGACGAGAAGAAGAAGCTTTTCGTTTCTCAGAACCGCCAATATCGAACCACTATAGGTTATAGCTGCCATACAAACTCAAACATCAAAATCAAATGCTTGTATGGATATTTTTTTATTTGACAAGATATCTTCATGAAATTTGGCACTGATTATTACCCAAGGCAATGCTATAAGCTCCAAAGAAATTGCTCAGATCGAACCACTATACAATTTAGCTGTCATGCATTATATCATATTTTTTTATGCTATAAGAAATGCACCTTTGTAGGGTATTAGAGCTTCGGTATAGTTGAAGTTAATGTTTTTTGTTTTGTTTTAGGTTGTTGTTGGTCAAGGTTTTATACATATATAATTTTTGAGTTCACACTTCGGATTTTTATTTCAAACTTTTCTGCTGTTTGCATCGATATTTAAAATAAAAATGAATAAAAAAATTCAATAGTGTAGCCTTTCTACTCATAACATATTCCTTACTGGGAATACCTATATGTGTGAATGCCGGCACTCAATAGTGTGGATTTACGGGCTGCCAACACTTATTATTTTAGTTTAGGTGCTTTCACATTCTGTTGTTATTCTGCTCTACTAGAAATTACAATAGAAGGAAAAAATTAATTTTTTAAGGGCATAGGTACTATAAAAAATATAAATGCAGTTCGTATTTGAATTATCAAACTGTTATATTTTTATTTGGCGAATTTTATCTCGATTTCTCTCGACTTGCCACCTTAAAAATATGTATTCCATCAAGGTACTATGTGAAAATATACCTATATTTATATATAATTTTTTAAAAATGTTCGTACACCTTATCACGTATTCCACAACAAACTATATACTTAATTAATTCTGTTGTACGCGTCATTAAATTCTTAAATATTTTTGAATTAGCTTGAAATAGTTGGAGATAAAAAACATACTTATTAAAATTCCATATTGCCACGTTTAATGAGCTATTACTTCCCTAATTTGAAAATGTGACTACATAAACGTAGGTGGCATCCCTATATGCATTTCTGCTTTGAGAACTCATCGGAAAATATATACACAGCCATGTATACATAATTACATGTATTCTAAAACTGGCTTACTTCGTTTTTATGACTAGTTTTTGTTTTGTTGCTGCTATATACCATATATACATACATACATATGTTGCCAACTCAACGCGTTTTATGTTTGTTTTTACTTTGTTGTTGTTAGTTCAGTTTGTGTCAGTTTCTATTTTGGAGCCACTCAATTTGGCCGGCAAGGCGCTCAGCTGCTGAGATGAGCTGCTGAGTTTTTGTGTTTATCACGTAAAAATATTCATATGTATGTATGGAAGTGTATAATATATGGTATTATGTATTTAATTATGGAAATAAGGCACATAAAGGCAACTGACGATGTATAATTAATCCGACAGCGTTTTCATGAAAAAATTTATTGCTGCTAGTATTTGTTTTATTAATCGTCAATATTATGTTGAAGGTCACTTTTATTAATTGCAAGTTGTTGTTTTAACAGAGGAGATACACATACACGCTGAACGCCTAAAAGTGTGCAACTATTCCAAACAATTCTCTTTCTCGTTTAGATGAAGACCCCGCCTTTCCTGCTAGCGAGCTCAACACACATGGTCCGACAGTGCATGGCTGGCGTAGTACCCCCGGTAATACCATTACACCGCACGACATCGTACTGCGTTTCCACAGACCAGCGAAGATATGTCGAATACAAATCTTAGCGCATCAGTTCCTTATACGTAAGTAATCATAATCTTACTTTCAATATTATTAATTCAACTCGATCTTCTCTTTTCAATTCTTCAAATCAGCTGAGAAAGTTGAGCTATGGCTGCACTACTCGCCAAAGGGCATACCGAGCACACCATCCTCACAATGCTTTGATTTCCTCGGCTTTGTTGCGCTTTCCGACAACGCGGCCACCAATTACAAGTCGCGCGAACTGCAAAGCGTGTCGGTGAATCCGCGACGCGGTACACATCTGAAGCTACGCCTCAGCACCGCACATCGCAACGACTACAACCCGGATGGACAAGTTGCTCTGATTGCGGTCAATGTCTTGGGCGAAGAGTTGGATAGGAATGTAACGGTTACAGCGGCAGAAAGTGCTGCGCAAGCAGAGTCACAGAACGCCGGCGGCAATGGCAATGGCAACGGCACTGCAGCTATGAGCAATGAGCAAAACAACATTGAGTTGATTGCTCCGACTGGGTCTGCGGCCGAGCCAGCTTTGGTTTCCATCTGTGATGATTTGCTCTTTTCCATGTATGTCGAGGAGTCCATTGCGGAGATCGTACGCGTAATGGAGGAGAAGAAATTGCAGGCGGTCGGCGCGGAGCGTTTTGAGTATGCGCGCAAGTTAAAGCTTTGTATGACAGCGCTGCGCACAGCCGGTGAGCGTTTGGGTCGTTACGCGCTGGCTAAACGTCAGGCGGTGCAACAGGAGGATTTCACTACCGCTAAGTTGCGGAAAGAGCAAATAGAAATGTACAAGTCACTTGTGTTAAAGCACTTGTTGGTTGACGATTTACTGGAAGGAAACGGCTTGAATGCTTCTAATGATTTGGCAAGCGAAGTGTATGCCAGTAAACCGATATTGCCACCTGCGCCAAGTCTGCAAGACGTCGCACAAGCGCTAGCCGAAGCGCACTATCAAACAAGCACAATGAGCCCGAAGAGCATACAAGACGATCGTTCCTCCTTAGATGGTTGTAGTTCGAGCGGCGGTGGGGGCTGTGGTGGGACCACCAATTCTGCGCCAGCTGGTATAGCACAAACTCATGCAAATGATAGTCTTTCACTCTCATCAAATGCGAATCTGCGGAAATCACACGACGACATACCTGTTTCGCCCAAGTTGGGGAAAGGACGTAGCCCAAGTCGACATAGTTCGCCCATGTCCAGCCGTCAAGGTTCGTTGCGCCGTAGAAACAAAAGTGCGCCACGAAATTCCTACGAAGATTATGAAGAGCGTGCTGTCCCGGCGTTGAGACAGTAAGTTTAATAGTGTTGCAGTGCGTGAACGTAAATTGTACAGAACGTATTTTAGTGTATTGTAGTGGTAGACTAATGAAGTGCTCCAAACTAACGCGTAGTCAACCTGCCGTGGACTGTAAATATATTGAGGGCTTTCTCACTAATTAGTGCCTAATAGTACTTGACCTTCTACTCCAACCTCTCAGTATCCCCATTTTTTCGGACCGAGGTCCAAAGTGTGACTTATATTAGTCAACACATTTTTGTCGAGTTAATTACCTCTTTTTTGCAACAAATTATTGCTACGAACGTAGGAAACATTAGATACTGTGAATGATAGAATTAAGGCTTTTCCAGTAAAAATCTGTTATAAGGAATATATATTCTTTAAATAGTTGTAACATTGTTAAACTTGGTCCATTCGCTGATATGAAATGCCGACTATGTTCTGTCCGTTTTACTATCCGAATCGTGTTGCGGATGATTCGTAAGAAATAATCGAAGTGGTTCGAGTGTTTTAAGCTTCAGAACAGCACAAATTCGATTCTTGCCAATCTTCCTAATTTTATTGCAAATAGATATCCGTATCATCTCATAATTTGTAGTTCATAGAAAATTTTATGCATGATGCTTATTTGATTAAACTCATCCGATTCATTACAGTATGACTTAGAGATATTTAGATATTAATAACCCCATCATAAAAACTACCCATAGTACCACATGGTTCGACTTGATGCCGGATATTTTATATATTTTATTATGTAATAATAGTTTTGTACATAAGTATGTATATTGTAGCGTATAAAATATGCTCTAGCGACCTCATAAACATTTCGGTGTACTTTTAGTTGATTTCTGTTCTTTCTTCTTCCTTTCTTTTTATATAAAAATTGTGCATTTTCTGTATGAAAAAATCCTATATCGGTGTTTGTTGCAATGTACCCATCATATGTATTTGCATTACACTCTCGTACTGTAGTTCAAATACTAATGAATTTTTAAGGGAATGTCAAGGTACCGCTCTACTGGAGGCCGATCCCAACCGCGGACGTTCGCGCTTAAATGATCGCGAGCGTCGTCAGGCTGCACTGCCGATTCTCGTGTTCGGCAATGATATGGTAAGACGCCTTGAAAAAATATTTCCTTTATACATCATTACAAAAGGATATCGTCTTATCGTTTGCAGGTTGAACAATTCTATTCGCGTCAATTTCAGGATCGCGAGGATGGTTTGATAAGTTTGCGTAACTTTCTAAAAGGCGTGGATGTCGAACAGTCGAATACGAATGCGAACAATTCGGGCAGCGAGAGTACGGCTGGCCCTAACAAGGTGGCGCGCAGTGCTGCGCTGTTGCTCCACCGTGCGGTTCGCGATGCTGTCTACTCGGTGTTCAGTCAAGCCACTGAAACTGTACGCGTGCTCTTTCTCGAATATGTGCCTAGACGTGTGTCACAAAGTGAAGTGGCGCGTTGCGTCGACCGTTTGCTGCCCGAACTCTTAGCTAAGTCTGGTGATCCATCAGCGCGTATCCACACTTTGGCTCAACACACCATACTTAGTATTGCCGCTTGTCCAGAAGTGATTGAGCAGCATTTGGTGGCGCCAGCGCTTTCACGTAGCGTTAGTTCGGGCACACATCCACGGTTGGCGCTTAGTCGCATGCAAATGCTGGAGCAATTGGTACTCAGTCAAGGTATCGGCACTGATAAACATAGCGGTTTAACCTGTCGCGCACTTTCCGAGTGCGGTTGCTCAGGTATACATCATCCCGCTGAGCCGGTGCGTAAGGTGGCCGAACGTATTTTGTTGCTAGTGTATAAAGTGAATCCACGTCTAGTGCGCAAGCAGCTACCACCGGACGATGATATAACCAGACGCAATCTGCTCTATCGTCAATTATTCACCGAATTCGATAAGTTGGATTTGGAGCGTAAGAAGGAAATGCTAGAGGCAAATAAATACTCCACGCACAATAACAGTGATCCAATAACGCCACCACCAAATCGTGGTCGCAATGATTTGGAGCACTTGCAGCAAGCCGGGAGCAGCTGCGGCGGTGGTGCTGGGAGTGGCAGCGATAGCCGTAGTAGTCCTTATGGTTATATGTATAGCACAAAATCCCCGGATCTGCAATCCAGTCCGATGCGTCGCTCTGAGACGCGCATACTGAAAAGTAAAAGTGGTCATGCGCTTGGTGGCACGAATGGTTACGCGAGTGGTAGCAGTGGCGGAGGTAATGGAATAAGTAGTGGTAGTACCGGTGGTCTGGTAGGCACATTTTCTAACTGCAATGGCAAACAGCAGTACAATGAGCAACTAAAGCGTTCAATGATATCTGCAAGCAACTCTAGAAAGGGCTCAAATTCGAACTCGAATTCGGAATCATTAGAAGAACCACCCGATGTGATGTGAGTATTATAAAAGAAAATATATGTAAACAGGAACGTATAGTGACAGGCCTCTAAGGGTACGAGTATTGCTAGAGTGTCGAATCTTTAGATACCCTGTATTAGGGTATTAGGATAAGTCTGTGGTACGACAAATAAAGTTTTTCGAACTTAATTCTCAAATACATATTTATAGAAGCCTCATACGATGAGAACCCTGGATCGCTTTTGTACTCATAACATGAGGATTGAATGTTTTTGGACTATATGAAAACTTTTTATTACCTTTTCAGCCATTGCCCATTTTGCGAATGGTGCTGCAGTAGCAGTGATCAGTCTCAATTGGATCGTCATTACTGGAAGTCCTGTCCATTCCTTACCAAGTGCCCTCAATGCAGCCAAGTATTGGAAGTCGCGGCCCTAAATTATCATCTCACAAGTATGTAATGAAAAAAAAAATTATTCAAGCTCTTTTTCATTGTAACTATGTATATCAATTCCACAGAGGAATGCGAGGCCAAGGATAGCTATGTGATGTGTGAACGCTGTACCGAGTCGGTGCACAAGCAATTGTATGACTTGCATCAAATGGAAGACTATTGTCGCGGTATGGTAGCATTGTGTGAAATTGAAAATTTTAATAAATGTGAAATATGTTTGTATGTGCGCACATATATTTTACAGAATTGAAGACAGGTGCTGCGCGTTGCCCACTGTGCCACGATGATGTACATCTGCCACTGGACGGTGGCTGGAAGTTACATTTACTCAGCTCTACAGGTTGTCCTGGCAACACTAGACGCCGTGCAAAAAAATCAAACTAACTTTAATATTTAGCGAATTTTAGTAGTATCAAACACATACATACTTACAAACCTATGTAGTTTACATGTAGTTTAGAAAGAAAATTATTAATTACTCTTTAATGGAAGAGTTGCAGGGTTGACTAATTAAACACTCACAAAAATAATTTCAAAAATGTAGAAAGCAAGAAAAACAAAAGATAATTTTGACATGACGCATTCAAAGGAATGCATTGAAAGCCTTCATTCATCGGATTTAATACTCGTTAAATGAATTGTGTTATAACTACTCGAAATAAGTATTTACACACATACAGGTGCAACTGAGAACTTATACATAAATATATACGTACACTTATATTAGGGATTTGTGCAAAATATGTTAAAAATAATTCTCGAAAGCCTAAAAAGACGTTTTTAAAACAACTAAAGAAATAATTATAACCGCTTTTGTAAGAATGTATACAAATACATATTCTATTTTTTACAATTTGCAGTTACTAATGAGTTTTATAATCGAATTTAAACAATCTTTTTGTGAACCAGTTCATGTATATACCTATAGTATAGTATAGAAAACCCTTTAAATTAAATTACTGCTAATTAATTAAAAATAAGTTTGTTCTGCTTAGTTAAAATGGTTATTGTATTCCTAATTTGTTAACTTTTATACTAACACAAATTTATACTTTATTTTTTAAGTGAAACTTATCACATTTAATAATAAGTTTTATATTGCGTCCAAATGATTAAAAAACCATCCAAAACTACACTACAAAAATACATAAAGCGAAACCTTATACGAATTCAATTTAGCTATACAAAAGTGATGAAAAAATCAATAAAGTATTCATTGAATAAATAAATCAAATATCAAAATTAATAATTGCTGTTTTATTGTGCTCTAAATATGTATATGATGATAAATTGAACTAATAACAAGATTAATTTTACCAGATTTACCTAACTTAACCTAATATATAGATTTATTAATCGTTTATAAATATTTAAATAAATTGTATACATTAACCAAGCGTTGCACCGTAGGCTCAACAAAATTTATTACTGGAGATATATAGCATACCATATATTTAGCAAACTACACAAATACAGTTTGAAAAGATCTGTAGTCGACATGCTCTCGTCATGTTGACGCGGCATGTGCGCTCATTGCTCTCTCCACTCCGTTAAATTTACGCGAAGTGTCAAAAATCGCCGCGTTGCTTGCAGAGGAAAAAAAATTGATTTCCACTCATTTGTTCACGGGTATTGTATTGTATTTTCTTGTGAATTGTGCGATTGTACGGCTCTACGGCGGGGTATATTACGTACGCATTTTTCTTTTTAATTAGATGAATAAAATCGTAAATAAATCCGGTTTTTCTATAATACGAAATCAATTTTGAAATGCGCTACCGAACGACGAAATGTAATTCTAAATAATATCGATTAGGAACAAGTGAAATATTGTGAATTTAGATTAGTGAAAAAGCCAACATTCTCTATTGCTGCGTTAACCCCTCGTACCTGCTGTTGATTAGCCATCCCTCGCCAGTTTTATACGCATCTTTATGAACTGTTTGATTATTCCAAGCCGCCAATTATTTGTGTGTGTGGGCAAAAAGAGCTTGTAACAGCAACAATTTAAATGGAACGTGTGTTTATAGCTCTTTACATACATTACTTTTAATTAAATTTGCTTCAGTTTGAAATTTATATCTAATATAGTGCAGATTATATGAATTAACTGAAGCACTAAACGCTGCTATAACAAACGGTGCTTGTGTAGCAATACTCTTTTGTACACGCTTCCTCGCTTCTTATTAGTATTGGGACAGATTTGTTCAGCTGTAGTGCGTTAGAGAATCACATTTGCGAATCCTAAGTCAAAATGACGTTACAACAGTTATTGAATTACAAATACCTGACAAAGGAACAACTAAATGGCTTTGACAACTACAAAGTAAGTGCCTAACAAAACAAATGTTGTTGAAATATAAATAATTAAATAAATAATTACAGTACAGCGCGCGTGATACCTCACCCTTGAGCGTATATGTAATGCATCCATTCTGGAATTGGACTGTCAAGGTAAGTTGAAATAGCAATAAAAAACCTGCTCAGCGCCTTATAAAGAAACCAGCTTAATTGAAATGTGTTATCGCTTAATTTTTGCAAAAGCGTACAAAAATTTTAAACATTTTAAAATATCAAAAACTACCGGCGAAAGGTATTAAAAAAATCAATTAATAAAAAAAAACTATGGGAGAGGGCGAAGAGTTACGGGGTAATTAACTGGCGTTAGGAAAATCAATAATCGTAAACAAACCGCTTGGTGGACAAATGCCATATGTACACAGCTCAATGTCATGTGATTAGAAATTAAAATTATAGTGGAAAATGTGTACTGGGATCATACGTTTCAATAAAGAGAGAAAAAATAAATTGTGTATGAGTATATAGGTAATGGTTTTTAATTCATTAGGAGCACTATTAAGTTAATAGTATATATTTTTTTGTTTGAATTTGAAAGGGCGTGTGAATATTAATTCAATAATAACGGTTATTATCTTCTTATTACCATTTACAGTTCTTTCCCCGTTGGTTGGCACCAAACGTTATGACCTTTCTTGGCTTCCTTTGTACAGTGATAAATCTGTTGCTTCTATCCTATTATGATTGGAATTTCTACGCCAGTTCTGGCTTACCGAATACTACCCCCATACCATGTTGGGTGTGGTTCTGCTGTGCTGTAAATATTTTCTTGGCCTACACATTGGATGGTATTGATGGGAAACAAGCACGCCGCATTGGTTTGTCTGGCCCACTGGGCGAACTCTTCGATCACGGTCTCGACTCGTATACCGCAGTGCTGATACCCACATGTCTGTATAGTATTTTTGGACGTAGTCCCGAGTACTCAGTAGCGCCCGTACGCATGTACTACGTATGCTGGATGGTGTTCTTTAATTTTTATGTCTCGCACTGGGAAAAGTATAACACTGGTGTTCTGTATTTACCGTGGGGTTATGATTTAAGCATGTGGGGCTCAACAGCTATGTACCTGTTAACATGGTGGTTTGGTTATCAATTTTGGCAACACACACTACCCTTGGGTATCTCGCTCGGACATATGATGGAGTTCGTTTTGCACATCAGCGCAATGGCCAATACACCGATGGTGATAATTAATGTGTACAAGTAAGCCAAATGCCTTATATAATATAATTTTGTTTGTACTATGTTCGTTAATATATATTCGTTCGTTTTATAGCTCATACGTGCAGCGCACGGGTAAAATGCGCTGTTTCAGTGAAGCAATGCGTCCATTGTGGCCACTTTTGGTATTCCTTGTTATAATGCTGCTGTGGCCTTTCATCTCACCGAATAATATCATGGAAAAAGATCCACGTATTATGTTTTTGCTGAGTGGGACAATATTCTCGAATATCAGTGTAAGTATGGGAACAAAATACTGACGAAGTATTTGAAAATTTATCTGTCTTCAAATCAAGGCAGTGGCGCAAATCTGTCCAGCGTGAAGCGATTATTTGGTTAGACTTAAATGATAAATGTGAAATAACTAATTTATGACTCCTCAGTTAAAACGATTACTATTGATTTGTAGAGCCGCAAAATATGCACATGTTTTGCATTGTTGTAGTACCGTTATCTTATCACAACAATGATAACAAACAGAAATGTGCTCACGAATGCCTTCACTGCAAATAGTTCGATTTATTGTTTGGTTCGTTTAGTATTTTAAATGAGCGAAATAATCGCATACAATACCTTTACCTGATATCACTCAATATTTTGAAGAGCTAGTATACACAGTAAATGCGAAATGAAATTTGAATACATGCGACCTAAATGAGACAACAAAATTAGAAGTATTCAATTCATTGTTTAAATAGTTTTCTATATTCCATTCAGGTAGTGCATATAGACATTTGAATTGCAAATAGTTTGTGTTCTATATTAATTTCACGTTTTGTATTTGTTTTGAGATGGCTGATATGTTATCTGCAGCGCGTTGAGACGCTATTGACACTATTTGTTGAGTCTATGTGATGTGACTGCTTGTGCTTGTCATATTTTCGTTACACACTAATATAAGTGCATAAAGCAACAACTCAAATCAAAACAAAAATAAAATGTTAATCTCGGCAAAACAAAAGCTATAATACCCTTCACAAGTGCATTTTGTATGGTATAAAAGGTATCTATTTTAATTTTGATCGGTCAGTTTGTACGGCAGCTATATGCTATAGTGGTTCGATCTGAACAATTTGTTTGGGGATTGTAGCGTTGCCTTGGAAAATAATCTGTGCCAAATTTCGTAAAAGTATCTTGTCAAAAAATATGCTATAATGGTCTGATATTGGCGGTTTCGACAAGTAATCGACTGGGGAGGATCATTTACATATACAAATATTTTTTAGGGTCTCCGACGTTTTCTACTGTGTGTTACAAACATTGTAGCAAACTTAGTACACCCTGTTCAGGGTATAAATATATATACAATAATATTATTGTAGGTCATTAAAACTGCAGTGCGTTAATTATCCGATTCACTACAATAGATGACTAATCGAATGAGATGATTTTTTGTTTTACTAGTATTGAAATTTGTATATAATAACATTAATTGCAGTTAGAGGTTTTTTTTGCGACTTTTCAAATCAAACTGATAAGTTCGCCATTTGGGCACTTCCAAAATTGGTCTTATGTACATACTCGTATGTAGGTCATTAAGCAATCTATATCTTGATAATACAATTAAATAAATTTCATTAAACAATTAACAATTTTCTCCTCTTCACCCTTTAGTGCCGTCTGATTGTGGCGCAAATGTCTAATACGCGTTGTGATGTCTTTCATTATATGATGCCTATATTCTTGTGCTTCGTGGGCATTGGTTTATGGATACCGCTACTTGAGCGCTTAATGCTCTATGTTCTATTCGTCGTTACCACACTAACACACTGGCATTACGGCACAAATGTGGTGAATGAAATGTGCGAACATTTCAATCGCATTTGCTTCAGCGTGAATAAGCGGGAACCAGCTGTTCGAAATGCCGAAGATATACGGCTGCGCGACATGGAGAAAACCGACTAAACAATGCTACCAAACCAAAACAGACAAGTGTGCTTATGCAAATGCAAAAATTAAGAATTTGCAGTTAGGCAACAACAAAAGTAACAGGAGGCTCGATATCAATTTTTACCCTTTCCTTAATATTTCACCGGTAAGACAGTGTTTTCAAACCGAGTTTAGCTGGATTGGTCTAGGTAAAGTGCAAGTATGTACATATGTACATTAATATATATTTTTGCTACATTGCACTCTCATGTTTTTTTGCATATACAAACCGTGCAATGAATTCGTGCTCTCTATAGAAAATTGAGATAACGAAATTGTCATTAAATTTTAGGCTTTTGAATACAGCAATGCCATTAAGTGTCAGTAAAATAAAGACAGAACGGAATTAGTAGGCAGTGAAGTTAAGTGATTATTTATTATGCAACCGTAATAAATAGCATATTATTAATATTTGTAAAAAGCCATATAATTTAAACTATTTATTCTAATTTATTAGTGCTTGGCTCTCTCGTGCGTGTGCTCTGTCGAAGTGAAGTGGGTGCTGAAACCAAATTTTTTATTATATTCAAACATTTATGTAATTGCTATTGCGCTGTGATTAAGAGCACGCATTCGTTTTTCTATCTTTTTAATTTATAAAAACTGAATGCATTTTCATATGGCTTTCGACAATATTTTTCACACGCTCAGCACTACACATCACTTGCCATTTTTCTCTCTGAAAATTCGCCTCATTTTACATCACCTTAAGTTACTTGTAAGTTTATAGTATTGATTTTGTGTATTATTTTATTGCCAACAAAATAATTTATTTAACTGAAGTTATAAAACGTTTACCAATAACCGCTTAGACCTCTTAATATTTTTTATTTATATAAATATTAATTTAACGCAAATTTCATAAATTTTATTTATATAAAACTAAAAGAAATATACATATATATATACATATACTTATGTATATAGAAAAGTGATATGTGAATATGTCATTTTGTGTTCGTAAAAATTTTGAAATCGAGCTTTATGATGTATAGTGTATTTTAGTTTAGTTTTTAGTTAGTTAAAAGTAGCTTCTTCCGAATATTGTGTATGTGTGCATATATGAAACATACGTATGTCTTCTAAAATACAATATAAATAAATAAATTATATAATTAAGAAAAACTAGTGTTTTAGACTGAATAAAGCTGTGCGCAGCTTAAATGGCTTAAAACAAGACATTAAAACGACAAGATATTAAAACTAGGTTAATGTTGTTAAAATATGTAATTCGAAATTTAAATTTTCTTAGATCAGAAAAATCTTTTTTAGTAAGCTATGCATTCGATATTAGTTTTACATCTTATTTGTCTAAAATGCATATTGCGTACACATTTAATACAAATACAAATCTGTTATTATGCAAAAAAGTTTCTACTTCCAAAAAAATTAGACACAAAAAGGTAAAACAATAAAAAAATATATTTTCAATATGCAAATATTTTTCATTTCTTAAAAAGGCGAGAAACATATGCTCTTATTTTTACTTGAAACTTTGTAACATAGAGTGCAAATCCATAAAGTATTTACTAAATGCAATACTGTAACTAAATAAATAGCGAAGACAAACCACAGACACATTGTAATTTAAAAAGACATACCACATAGCTTAATTTCGATCGGAAACTAGATTTGATCTGTTAATTATTTATACATTATATAGAATACATGTAGGTATAAACTATACCTATGTACATGTGTACTTTTATTTATGTATTGTATATAAATATGTACATGTACAAAAATTAATGAGATTAAAGAAACATACATTGCTGATACAAATGTGAAGTTGTTACTTTTTAATTTGTACAAAATTGCTGGGTACACTCAAGAGGTTCCGAGTTTAGCATCTTAACCCACTTGCCACAGGGTGGTAGGCCGTAGCCACCATAATTTGTTTTGTTAATAAAAAATGGCTCTATATGCATGTATGTGAGTACCGTTGTATTTTTAAGAGTGGGCCCAAAGAATATACTTTCATTGACATTCACTGTTATGTTTGTAGTTTTCAACCGGTTGCAAATATTGCATTTTAAATACAATTGAATTAACAGTTAAATGATTTTATTTTTAGTGTGTAATATAATCCCGAAAATCATATATAAAAATAATGTTCGAATTTTTAGTCCCAAATACCTGATTGAAAGTTTAAAATAAATTTTTAGCCCCAAATTTCATAAGTGAAAAAAAAAATTTTAATTCAAAAATTAAAAAAAGGTGCTAATGTGATTATTACTAAAAATTGTTTGTAATTAAAAATTTAAAAAATTATGTTTTTTAAAAAATTATCTTTTGGAATTTTAAATTATTTCGTGTTTGCGTACTTCCTGTTTTACCATTTTGTTTATCTTTGTAAAAGGAAATCATATTTTTAAAAATTTCGACAGAGTTTAACACTCTTTGTCTCATTTACATTTAATTGTTTTTAATTATAGCGATTCCTTTCGTTTCTGTTTTTGATACGGAAATAATTCTTTTATTTGTTTATCCAATTTTTTTAAATAAAAAAATTATTTTTATCAATTTTTAATTTAGTTTTTGAATTAAAAAATACATTTTCAATTTTATTTTATTTGTTACTCCATTTTTTTTTTAAATAAATAAATTATTTTTATCAATCTTTAATTTAGTTTTTGAATTGAAAAATTAATTTCCAATTTTATTTTATTTATTACTCCAATCCTTTAATAAAAATAAAATAAATGTTTATCAATTTTTAATTCTGTTTTTGAATTTAAAAAAATTTTCATATTTTATATTAAATTTTTGCAATTTTATGGACTAAAAATGGGGTCCTTAATTACAAATTTTGGATTAATAATTGATTTTTAATTTCAATTTTCGTATTAAAAATGAATTTTTTTAATTAGAAAATTAATTTTTTTCAATTAGAAAAAAAACTCGCTAAACTCTTTTCCAACAAGTTTATTACTTAGATTTTGTAGAATATTCACAAATAAAAACAAATAAATTGAGACACTATTAACTTTCTTCAGGTCTATAATGACTACGAACACGATTTTTTATAGAATAATAATATAAATTAAAGTATATAATAAAAACTGCTTTCACTTCGCAATTAAAAAATAATAATTTGAGCCACAAAAAATAATATCCAATTCCACTAAATCGTAATTAAAAGTTTTAATAAAGTAATAAAGATAAAAGATACGAGAGCGTAATCCACAAAAAAGCAGGAAAGTTAAACCAGTATTGCATTATTGTCGCATAATTTCAAATAATCATCAGATAAGCTTGTTATAAGCGCAGTTCAATTACCTTTCCCCCAATTTTGTGACAAATTTAATAGCCGCACTTGTGTAAAGCAAAAATAATACGCGCGATTTACATATACAAATATATATACATATATGTACATGCATATGTGTATGTAACTGTATTTGCGGCTTACAACACAGGTGTGCGCAAAAGAAAACAAAAGACTTAAACAACAAACTCGACAGCATTTCAATCACGTTTCGCATGCTCATCACGTAGCAAATGAGTTTAGCAGACGAAATGACGCGCAGTTTTATAATATTTTATTCCCGCTGGCATTTTACTATTATTTACATTATTCTGCGTTGTAAAATTCTCGAAAGTCTCATGTAAGTAAATTGGCATTGACGCGTGCGTCCAGTGCAAGGCACTTTACGGAAGCACCTGAGCTGCACAACGAAAGCGGTACTAGCTACTAGCCCTTGCAGCGTTTCAACGGAAAGATTTACATTTTTAAGTAAATAATAAAAAACAAAACAGGCGAGCGTTCTTTATTTAATTGAAATTAATAATTTTTTTATTATTTCACTAAAACACAAAATGTGTCAATAAACTCAATGTGCATTAAAGCAAGAAAAACGTTAGTTTCGGTTGCAACGAAGCTACAATATAATACCATTCACATTTGCTTTTCTTATAGCGTAAAAGGGTATAAAAGTTATTTTACTCCATTGATGGATCAGTTTGTAAGGCAGCTGTATGCTGTAGTGGTCCGATCTGAACCATTTATTTGGAGATTGTACCGTTGCCATAAACAATAATCCATGCTAAATTTCGTGAAGATACTTTGTCAACTAAAAATGTTTTGCATACAAGAACTTGATTTTGATCGGCCACTTTGCATGGCAACTATATGCTATAATTGTCCAATATCAGCGGCTCCGACAAATGAGCAACTTCTTGTGAAGAAATTGACGTGTGTAAAATTTCAGATCGATAGTTCGCGTATATACAAACAGACAGACGTACATGGCTAAATAAACTCGGCTAGTGCCGCTTATCACGTCTTCGACCTTTTTTTCTGCTGCTACAAACTTCGTGGCAAACTTTATAAGCACACCCTGTTCAGGGTATAATACCAGAAAATATGGTATGTGAACTTAACAAGCAAACACAATGTGCTAATATTAGTTTTCTCACAAACATCGCATTTATTTAACAAACGCGCATATGTCTTTCTTCTACAAAAACCTCAACCTTCAACTTCAAACAAACCAATAATTAGTCAACGGTAAAAAATAAACATTAAAAATGGGTCAACAGCGCTGTAAATGATTCTATTGTGACATATTTTTTGAGGAGCGTCTTTTCAAACGTCAACACGACTTTTATAGTGCTCGTAATAAGTACTCATGGGGCTTAGCAAATATTTATTATAAAAGCCACAACAACAAGGTAGAACCGTTGCAACCGCGACCTTGCGCACCAAAGCTTTTGATTTTTCGCTGAGTTAAAATCTTAATGCTTTCTTAGCGGCGATATAAAGATCACTAATGGATAATACTCGTATATGGATAAATATTTGTTGGCGGTGTGTGACGAAGGTACGAGATTATTAGTAAGTTACTTGGCTGTGTATAAAATGTATAGTTTTCAGCCGTTAGAGTGGAAGTCTAAAATAAACGCAGTTTGAGGCTAATGCGATTTATTTGAAGATCTTTTTTACACAGACTAACGATTGTCGCTCTTTAATTGCAATATAACGATTCTAGTAAAACCGACAGTTGATACTCATTACTATTTCGGCAAAAGGCTCTCAATATAGTGGGTATATACGCTTTACAGGTATAAAAAAAGGTCGTACAGACTGACTGAGTTTATCAGATGGCTCTGTTGAGATGGTTGATGAACCGTTGTAGTATATGCTTAAGTGGTTTGAGGGCAAAGTCAAAGTCCATATGTTATATTTCCAACATATGCATATTTGATTAATATGCGCGGGAGTACCACACTTATTTTATATTATAATACAAGTAGAAGTTCTTTACTAATAAATCCGGTGAAATCTATCGAATATTTTTTTTCCAAAATTATTTATTTGCCCATATATATTTACATATATATAATATAATTCGAGCAAAATGCGACCATAAATGATGACATTTCAGAAATCTCGATTGCAGCGCCACCTAGGATATTTTTAGAACTCTTCATAAAAAAATTTAGCTTGGCTAAGCAATCGGTAAAGTAGTATGAAACAATTTATTATTTATGTAATATGAAAAGTGTTTTTATAGTCCTTCACTCAAGATCAAATTTGACCCGGATTGATCCATTTTACCTAAGCACGCAAGCCAAAGCGATACAAATTTTTTGGTTGGATTGGTACAATCTTTTTCTTTGATCTCCATATGCCAATTATTGTGTTGTTGGCAGTTATTTGTTTTCAACGCGAACGGTTTGTCTGCTCAGTCCGCATCAAGTTTGAAAGCTTCCGAGGGAAAACTATAAAAAAACACACCATTCAATATACTTTAATACTCTAATGCGAACTAGCCGTGGGACCTGTAAATAAAATGAAATACCGTTAAAAATATAAAAAAAAATAATAATATATGTATACCGTTATTATAAACACAAAGCTTATTGGAGATCAATCAACTACAATAAATATAGTAAAAATCTCTGCAAACAGAAACCCAAATCAAAGCTTATATAGAATGACGACAGCTATGTAATTGAAAAAGTAAAGAAAAACAGTAAATAGTGTAAAATAGGCGAGGCTGAGAGGAAGACAAACGCGATTGCACTTCTGCTCATGTTGGAAAGAAAAGTTGCCACACTACTCGCCACTGTCCGCAGAGAAGAAAGCAGATGAGCCGAGGCAAGTCTTTCATTCCAGAGTCAAAACAAGGTGCGTTTGCGCACAGGTAAATAACAAAGAAAAACAAAAAAAAAATAAAAATAAAAGCAAATCAACACAAAGAAGTAGCAACTGAAAATTCTCAAAGCAAACGTTTGAGCGCATTGCTCATGGTCCGAAGCATGGAGATGAGAAACCCACAGTGACAGTAGACGCGAAGTATTAAGTGAACGCTCGCACGCAGCACAGAACAGTTGCGTTTGTAACGCGTGAGAGTTAAGAACGTTCGTTAGTCGCGCTTCTTTTCGTGCCAAAAAAATATAACGCTAAGTTTCAAAAGTCGGTGAAAAGTTTTCACAATTTCGAATTGAAGTTATGCGTAGCGCGCTTTTTATTTTCGTGGTCGTTGTCAGCTCGGCAGCGGGACACAGGTATGGCAATTTAGCAACGTCCGCAAGTTATGCGTTGCCCGCAAGTGTAACTAGTGCTGCTGCTGCATCGCGTGCTAGTAGTGCAGCCACAACAACGGCAACTAGCCCCAGCGCTATTAAAGAATCGCCAACGCCAACCGCCACCATTGAGTCAGCCGGCGGAGCGGAGAGTGCTGCAGCAGGCGAAAGCGGTGCCGTTACGACCACGCAAGCCGCACCAACCACAATATCTATTCCCGCTGTGGCGGTGGCTTCTAGCACGATGAAGAATGAGGAAGCGGTCAGTGAAACTTTAACAGAGTTACCTATTGCCACCCCGCCGACAACGCTTTTGCCACCCGACAGCGATGCGGACTCACCGCAACGTCGTGTGATAACCTATGACCAGCGTCAGGAGGGCCAGTATAATATACGTGCCGATTTGGAGAATTTCATGATCGTACTCATACCACCATCACCCTCTGAAGGTCTGGACTTACTCGACTTGCTGTCCTCAGTGCGTCGCAGTTCGTTGCGTTCGAAATCGAAGCGAAAACACTTCACAAATAACGTAGGCAACACTAAATACCGTCATCCTTTGAAGTCAACAGCAACATTTCCATCAAGTTTGCAATATGTGGGCCGTCAGCAATCACCACATTCATTGGAAGGATCGCGTGGTTACCTCACTGCACCGCAATTTGTGCAAACTCCATTTGACGCCTTCATCGGTGCGCATGGTTCCCCGGCTTCAGTTCTTTCCACTTTGGGTGCATCTTCTAATCGTCTCTCAGATTTCATTGAGGGTCGCACTACGTCTCGCTTTGATATTGCCGCCAATGAAGAAAATGCCTCACCGGATTTACAGCCTGATCGCCCAGTGGATGTATTACCTCCACCATATCCACTTGCATACCAACACCTCATCAAACCTTATCATCTGGAAGCAGAGCCCACGGTCATTCAAGCTTTGCCACCGCCAGAGTTGAATAGCGCACCAGCGCGTATTACCGGCAACTATCTGGATAGCTATAATCAGTTGCTGGCACCTGGTCTCACAGCTGGCAATAACGCTGCTGCTGGCGACGTCGCTACGATTTCCACCACTACAACTACCGCAGCGGCCATACCCACTGAAAATAATACGGGTTATTATCGCATTTCGCGTGCCATACGCGGCGACAGCTTTCTGGACTCGAACCGTGTAAGCTCCCCGAATAGTATACATCATAACAGCGCTGATCTGCAGCCACTTTATCGCGCAGATCACTCACTGGGCGCTACATATCTGTATCCGCCGATCGATACGCCACGTCTCTACTTCAATTCAGAATCAAATGGGAAAAGCTTCGAGATGCCACACGATGCCGTTGATCGCTCACAGGTTTTAGACGATGTAGAGGATAATGCACGTGTGGGCGAGCTGTATGTGCCACCGCGTGAGCTGAAAGACGACATTGAGTGGGAGCAGTTCTTCGATACGATGGTCAAGGAAGCAAACGATTCACTATGCATGCCTGGACAGCGACGCGACAGCTACGGTATTTGTCGCCAAGTGGAGGGCTATTGAGTATGAAGACTGCACTGAACTGCTTACTATTTTCATAAGTAATAAAGTAATAGAATTAGTGAAATTGGACGCAAGTCGAATTGGAAGTATATTTTAAGTATTTTAGTTGAAGGAAACTATTCGAAAGTTTTATAATATATTTTAAGTAAAGAATTGCTATACACTAAGCATAAACGAATATATAAACGATTGAAACAATTTATATTTATGTATTTAGTGCAAAGTATTAATAAAGATTTTGAATTATCAGAAAGGTTATTTTGTATTGAGGGAGAGTGGAAGTGTATTTGGAGAGCAAAACTAAAATCAAAGTAATTATTTACTTCATGGAAGTTTTTTGTACGGTTTAACCGACATTCGGCAGGGATCGACTTAAGCCTTTATGGTGCTATCTTAACTTTATCATGCATATTTCTTAACACATTTCGTAATTATGGGAAAACACTCTTCTTTGAGTATTTTTAATTTATATACAGACCTTAACAATTATTCTGAGTATCGCCTTTATCCATTTTATTGTCATAATATAATTTCTGAGGTAGGTACAAATACTTTTGGCAGGATTGGTTGGAGTTTAGATAATTTTTATTTATTTTACTTTATTCTGAATTCTTTGGTAGTGTGAGGAACATGGATCGATATTGCCTGCTGACGTAGTTTAGTATTTTGGTTCTTGGCATCTTCTTTGTCGTCTCATGACAAAGCATTATTCATAATTTAAGAGCATTGCCTATGATCAGTTCGGCTGACTAATTGATAAAGCGAAAAACCATGAAGAAACTTTTGTCGTAAACTCAGGAAATTTCAGGTGTCTTATTTTATGTAATGTCTCTGTCTAGACAAGCCGGTTTTAGAGTGTTTTTATGAAGATTTGCTAAACACTTTTTTTATCTTTGAACTGGAAATCAAATATATCTAGAAAATGTTTTTTAAATCATCCAACAAGTTAAGATCATGAAAATTGTGCTAAACCTCCAACTTAGTCTGGCTTGCGTTTAATGTTTATTTTTTTTATAGAAATTAAAAAAAATAATTAATGACTGAATTAAAAAATCAGACAACAAACTCTGCTTCCGTTTTAGTGAAAAATTATTACTCGACTTTTTTGTACTTTGCTTTTAATTTTACTCATTCTCAAGTGAAAACAGCTGATTAACGGTTTTTATAGTAAAATTAGTATATGCTGGCTATAATTAGCATAAAATGTGATGTCGCAAAAGCAAAATTAAAAAAAACAATTATACTAAAAAAACCACGTATACAACAACACATTAAATAATATAATAACACATCAAAAATTATAAAAAAAACCACAGTTTTAATATTTTTTCGCTAATAAAACTCGCACTTACAACTGACAAACGCGACGCTTTAGCGGTAAGCATTACATTGAGAACTTGTTCGTAACTGTAAAGATGAGCGGTAAATACAATAAATATTCTTATTAATTTTTGAGTCGTACACCTTCCGGCATTTTTTTTCTCGATACGAATATTAAGTACATACATATGTACAGTTATGCGCTTGGTTTGACATCAACAGTTAGCGCGGTTTTACTAAGGCACGCAATTAGCGCCTGCGACAAAGAAACGAATCGCTGAAGAAGAAGATTGAGAATTATTTTAAAAAAATATAAATATATAGTATGAGCATATATTATATAAGTATGTATGTAAATAAAAATATGGTGGACAATTGCGGAAGTAAAATCAAAGAGTAAATACTAGTGCTGTTGTATTTGTTCCGTGAAAGAGTCGAATTTGTACAATTAGCGTAGTTCAGTAGGCATAAAGGACTAACACATCCGTACATATATACAGGCATGTACATTTGTATATACATATCTATGAAAATGCGTGATCTTTTTAACACGCTTAGTTTAGCGCTAATTGGCGGTTTAAACTGTCCGTTTTATTGATATTTGTATTTGCTTAGAATTCTTATATTCTCAACACATATGTACTTGTATGTAGATACTTAGATACCTAGATTACCTAGATACTTAGCAAACTTGGCATTCCACTGGATTAAAGTGAAAAATAAATAAATGCTTTTCAAATCTGTTAACCTCAAATTAATTTCAATTGCAACAACATTTAGTAAGCAAACACCGCTACTGCATGTCAATAAGTAAATAAGCAAGTATTTGTTGTTGATTTTCCACCTACTAAGTGCAATGTAAAGTTTACGTGCATTTTACCGATGAGTAGACAAATTTTCAAGATGCTCTTGCTCATGAAATTTAAGTTATGCTTTTTAAAATTGTAAAAAAAACCTCTAAGGCTGTAATACGGCTCATGTACCGTTATTAAAGTATTGATTTATGTAATTAACAGTTAGATTTCATTGCAGCAAATACAAATATGAAAACAAGCAAGAAATTATAGGTTGCATAGTGTTTAAGGTGGTTAATACTGTTAACAGTAGTGTATTTGCTTAGCATAACCTGCTTAGAAGAGAACGATGACTCTTCTGATCAGAGACTTTTAAAAAAGAAACTGTTAAGAGCTCTATTTCGGTTTTTTTTAAATCCATTAAGGAACAAGGTATGGATTTTTATGCTACGGTTATTATGAATATCCTACAAGCCATCCAAAGTTTCTAATTGGGTCCATAACTATATTCATGATGTTTTTTTTTCAAAATTTGAACGTTTGTTTAAGAAAAACATGAAACATGTACAACGTCCGGTGCGTTTTACGTGAGTACCTGCCGTCGACGGCCTTACATCACGGTGCTCCAAAGCACAACGTATCAAAACAATGCGTTGATAAGCGCCCCAAATAATACGAGCTATTTGCAAGTATTAATTTGGTTACCAGTGGCCAGTGTGTAGGGATACACTGACCATCTTGGTAGGATTCGAGGCCGATCTAAAACCTCTTCCGTTTTCGGGTACGGAACCCAGTTGCTTGTGCAACTTCTTTTTTCGAACTTAAATTCAGTTCTTCCAGCATTTAGGTTTAAGCCACAGCCACCACGATACTCCCCAAAGAGCCGAACCCAATGAGCAGATTGAACCGAAGTCCAAGGGCATTCTGCTACCCGTGGTACCAGAGTTGAGTCTCCGGTAAGACTGTGTAGCCGAAGCTACTGCCAGTTGAGCTCCGCCTTACTCAATGACTGGTGACATTTGTCGCTTGAACATCAAATGTCTTTTTATTTGGAATCTCATTTAAAGTCTATAATATCAGTTCAAGCTGAGTATTATAGCACTATTTCTGACATCATTTACTATGCTGATATTCTGGGCAAAATAAAATAACAGTCATAGTGCATTTGGATTTTAGTCGCCTTTTACGACAGGTATGCCTTACCGCGGGTAAGGAATGAAACATGTACATCTGAAACTAAACCGTATTGTCATATTTCTGGTCATTTATGGATTTCATACTAAAAGGCGGCCAAGAATGAATCAAAGCAATTTTTGATACCCTGCTCTGATGTAAGCCGTGTTACAGTGAGAGCGTTCTGCATCGACCGGAACAAATAGTAGTCAGAAGGGGTAAGATCTGAACTATACCATAAGGCGGGCGAGGCAAAACTTTCCAGCCGTTTGTTTTCGCTATCAGTTACTTGTCTTTTTTGGCCTCCCAGGCCTTCATATTAAAGTAATGAAAAGGAATTCTACGCAAAAACACTTTTTCAGGCACAAAGTTCGACATATTTGAGTAAAAAACTATACTGTCATTTACGCTTCAAATGAATGACAGCACGTATATAGTTCCAGACCTAATATATAAAAGAGAAGAAGATTTTCAACAAAATTTATGTTTTTGCTCTTAATAAAGTGTGAAATTCCACAAAAAAGCCGCACTACACACTTTAAAATAACAGTACTTTTGTTAGCAAAACTCCACCAACCACTTGCCAATTACAGTTAGATATACGCGCATGTGCAGGAGCCAATTACTTCGCCACTTAATGGATGTTTGCAACTTTTCTGCAAATATCTAAGCCACACAAGCATCCAGTTGGAGAGAAAAACAAAAACAATAAACCAAAAAAATAAATTATGTGGAAATGCCGCCAGTGATTGACAAGCAGCCTGTTTGGCTGTGTGTATGTGTGTGCATGGCTGCACTTTAAGGAATTCATATGTTTTGCATTAATGACTTCAGCACATTTCTTTTCAAACTACGCAACTTTTACCAAGCCACACATATACAAACACACACTCAAACATAGCAAGATTTGCTGGCTCAACGGCGACACATTCTAATTGAATTTACTCGCATGCAAGCACTGCCGACCGACCGGTTATTGTTAAATGCCTGGCATTGGCATTCAACTTGATTGGCTTTGCAACCTGTGGCAAGTTTCGTTTGGCTTCGCCATTGCATTCACTTGCCGCAACACGATTGACGTGGAGCAGGTTCAATGACTTCTAATAAGCGACTGCTTGACTGACGAATGGACTAGTCTCGAAAGTGTTTGCAGCTGCTGCAACAGCTACAACAGCTACAACAACACTTTTGCAAAATCTCTAACAGACACTTTGTTGCAATGCTCAAAACGGCTTCGCGCTGCATTGCTGGCAAATGTTTGTTTGGCTTGTCAGGGCTACTATAATAAATTATTGCTTTCACGAGCAGACGAAATGCATAGCTGCTGCATAGAAATTCACTGTCGGCAACTCATTGGATTTTGAGTGTCACGAGGTGGGTTTGGAACAAGTAATTTCTGCGCTTGTTCCGGGTAAAAAGAAGTAAGCCGTAATGCATAATTTATTCAAGCTCCAATTGGACCAGATGCATTTAGTTTTCATCGGCATAACTTCAAATCATGTGTGAGTGTGAGTTTTGACTTCAAATCTCGAGTTCCGATATTTGATATTCATCTCAAAGTAAGTTTTTAGGATGACTATACAAAAAAATATATTATCCTTATAGCTGGCTCTAGAAGCCATGGATTTGTAATAGATGGGGAAAAACGATTAGTCCCATTATTATTGATGTAAAGGTAAAATAAAAAACATTTTCTATTGTGCCTATAACTATATTCATGCGTTATTTTTCAGAAAGTTTATTTAAGATAAGCATGTACAGTAGTATTATCTATTCAAAGCATTGCATCTTTTTGGTAGTTTTTGACCCGTCTTGCAACAAGAGGTCGAGCGTTGTCATAATAAACATTTTTTACCTCAGTTCTAGTCGCGAGTTGCGGGCGTTTTTCAGTAATCAAGCAGTGTTGATGGCGGTAGCGTTCTCCATTAATGATTTCGCACGGTTTTAGAAGCTTATAATACAGCATGACCTTCGGATCCCACCAAATACAGAGCATTACCTTGGTGTCATTGATTTTCGGTTTTACTGTTGGTTTGGTTTTTCAGATTTCATATATGTTTAAATATAGCATACGAGTATAGACCCAATAAAAGGCCACAAAATATTTCGTATTCATGCTCCAATGCTCTCGGCCACTGCTCTCGCAGCGATGGTTAAAAATAGAGACAAATCTATGAGCGCTGGCACAAGTGGCGATTTATGCTAACTAAGAACCGACTCATATTTATATTGTATGTATGTATACATATAAGTATGTGTGTATATTATTAGTTGTATGCCTTTGAATTTATTAACTGTCACTGAGCTCATTTTAGTGTATATTCATATAGAAAGTTGTTATTATTGTTATTGTTTTGATTATTTTATTCTAATTATAAAAACAAACAATAATCATTGACCGACAAAAACGCAAATTTAATTTAATTTATGCGAACTCAAGCTAAATATCAATGAAGGTATTCATACACACACATATACATATATGTATGCATGTATGCATGAATTTATATGGGTCTCTGTGGAATTTGGCCTAATTTTGTATTCATTTTGCATAGTTGGTTATCGGCAAAAATGTCATATTCGCACCAGTTTTAATTCAAGCGAAAAAAATTCAAAATTTAATTTAAGTTTCTCGCAATCGCAAATTATTGTTGGAACTTTATTTATGAATAATTCGAGTTTGATTTAACAGTTAACAAAATTCGAAGTAGTAAAAATTTTTCGGGATATTTTTAATACTATTTTTTACCGTTCTAGATTCGTTTTGTCCTCACTATACTTTTGCTAAATATTATTACAGATATTTTGCAAGTTAGCTGCTCCATGCTTACCAACATTTTTGCTATGCTACTTAGAGGGTTAAAACCTCGGAAACATATTCATAGTTAATATTCAGGAAAATGGATTGAGATTGGCAGAAATTAATATTTACAAAATTTAGTATTTAACAGAATCAATTTTAAATAGTTTAAGAAGTTGTGTTTTCACTTTTGGTAGCCGACAAAAAACCTATAATGGAGCCGGTAGTTTTAAATATCTAAAAAATTAATTTTTATTAAGCAATATTCGAATATTACTATGACTTTCTATGAGTAACATTTCGAACTTACCCACACTAGTAAGCTGTGATCGACAATGAAGAGAAATCCCGTTAAATTGGTAGCACGTTGTGCGCGCATCAGTGGCAAAAGTAGTAAACGCCTTACAGATGGCGGAACACGCTCCCAGGGGAATGCTAAGTAAATACGATCAGAAACCTCTTCGCTCTACAAAAAAAAATATATTTACTACATTTTAAGCAATCCAGAAGCACTAATCCAAAGACTAACCACATTTTTAATTTTTTCGCCACTAAAACAATAAATGCACAACTGGAAAGTGATTGTGACAAGTCCAACAGCTAACACCGGCAGCCCCGATATGTCACTCAGATTGATGAGATTATAAGCGCTGAAGCAGAGTTTCAGATAGCTAACGGAGATTTCGATGAACACGATGGGCGCGTAGAGCTCGTCAAACTCCGCCGATAATTCCATGATGCGGCGATGATAGTGCAAAGTTTGGGTGATTCTGCTATGCAAGCTAGAGTCGTCTTCTGCGCCAGCCGATGCCGCGACCACAGTTTCCAGTTCACGCTGCAGCGCGCGAAAGTGTGCGGAAATATTGAAGATGAACCAACAAAACAGCGAATCCATGGCGGCGATGGCGTGTATGGCGTAGACAATGAACGAGATGCACCATATATAAGAGACGGTGTAAAAGAATGGGTGACCAGTGTCGTAGGGAAAACTGGCAAGTAGACGGTTATAAAAAAGGAAAGTAATAAGGTGCTTGAGCTCAACTGAAATATCATTATTTTGCGAAATCTTCTTCCTTTCTAAACATATGCTTCACATTCTCACTTACGCAGCATTGAAAGGCAGTATGAACATGGTGTGATCATTGAAACATCGGCTATATAGTAAAATGATAGCAGGCACTGTACAATACAGGGTGCCCGTTGACATGCAGCAAATATAGTAAACACGCACGATGCGTTGTTGCCAGTCGTTCTCATGCCTCCATTCCCTTCCCTCTTTAACATTCGCTGAAAAATTCAGTTTCTTTAAAAATAATCAAATTCTTCGAATTTTTGCATTGCACCTTCATCCGCCAACATATCTAAACTCCGTATAAGTTTTATGAAGCGTCTTCCCTTCGCCACAAACATGCCACTCTTGATCACAGAGAGCACACCTTGCAGAAATACTGTTAAAACTTGGATAGCCTTATCCTGTTCGCTGGTGTAAATGTAGCAGCCCATAAGTAGCGTAATAATTGCCGTAGCCAGAGTCCAGGTAAGGTATCTGCAGGGTGCACTCGTAATGCGCTAATCTCGTTGCGCCCACAAATTAATGCCGATTACGCGAAAACTGAAATGCTGTATTTGAAGATATTCGTACATTTTGATTTGTACTTCACGGAATGCGTGAGTCTTTGGCTGTTCGATTGCTTTTATATGAGTCAAACATATAAACATATGTTCAATCCTTGGTATATACAACCAATCATACGTCAACGTTAATTATGTTGTTTGTGGTGCTCATTACGTCTAGACGCCCATTTGTTTGGTGTAAGAGTGTATAATTTTATAAATACGGTATAGAATTTCTATTGTTGTTTTGACGCTTACATAAAATGCACCAAATTACTTGCGCTGAAGGTCAAAGTTCGGCTTTAGATATACAATTGTTCTCGAAATTCTTTTGGTACATACTTAAATGTACAGGGTGAACCAAAATCCTTTCACATTTCTACTTTTCAAAAGTGGGTAAATGAGATAGTGGGTTATGAGACTCCACTGTATATGTGTTATGAAATTATTAAGAAAACCTTGGTGTTATATTTTCGAGTTATTCACTGGGTAACGAAGCCAAGCTTCTATTGGGTCTATAACTATGTATTTTTATGCGAGCTTAATACATTTACTCATTTTATTTGCAATTTGTGCATTCCATCCCAAAAGAAATACGTCACCAATTTTTCACATCCTGTCCTGATTCAATTTGATGAGTTGTTATCGGTAGCGTTCTTTATTAATGGTTTCACCTGGTTTTAGAAGCTCATAATACAGCTCTTGATCCCACCAAATACAAGACATTTCCTTGGCGTCATGGATATTCGGCTTTTCCGTCGATTCGGCTGGTTGGTCAGGCTTCGTATATGATTATTTGCATTTAAGGTTGTCGTAACGGATCCATTTTTCATCATCAGTTACAATTCGATGTAGAAACTACTCTTTTTTTTGTAGCGTTTAAGCAGCATTTCTGACATAGAAAATCGTCTTTCAAAGGCTTGAAGCCAAGAGACATATACGTTTGAATATACCGGCTGTGTTTAGATGTTTTGAAATGGACGCTTGAATGATTCCCAAGGATTTTGCGAGCTCTGATTTTGTTTGGCAATAATCTTTATCGAATAATGCTTCTAGTCCCTCATTTTTAAACTTTATGGACGCCTAGGACATTCTTCGTCTTCTAAGACAAAATAACAATGGTTTGGTATGTTCGCTCAGCTAGAGCATGTTAAGAGTAAACTTCCATCGAACTACAATAAAAATGACTTTCGGCTGAGGTTATGAAGACGAGTTCCCCGCAATAAAACTTTTTCAGGCATAAAGTTTGACATATGTGAGTGTAGAAAATATTGTTGTTTACGACGAATGATGAATGACATATATTGAAAAAGACGCACAAGGACAGTAGCTTTCCAATGCATGTTCGGAGTATTGGTTTTCACGAATATATGTGGTTATAGACCTAATACGTTATGACTAAATTATTTGTTTTTGAGAAAAAATCGTTCGCTAATATTATTATGGCTTCTACTATCTTCTCGCGGACTAAATGATTTATAATTAGAGGTTAAAAAGAAAAAATATCTGGCATTGTTAAGAATATTTACTCTTATACGCAATTGCTTTAATCTCACTTTTGCGTGTCTTAACGGACCTTGATTTTTTTGCAAAAGCTCCGCTCTATAAACAGTTTCATATCATTATGGGCCATTTATTCAATTCATAATACGTATGTAATTTTTATAAAAAGTGACATTATATTCACATGATGTTGTTTAAGTTATTGTTGCATGCGATTTACACCACCTTTTTTTCTTTCCATGCAAATAACATGGCAGTGATTGAGCCTGCGGTTTTGAATATCTGGAGACATAAACAAAATTTAGTTATTTTCTTGAACTTCTGATGTTTTTGCTAGAACTTACCCATACAAGTAGACTGCGATTGGCTGTGAAGAAGTAGCCGGTCAAGACTAAAACACGCTGCGAGTGAATAAACGGGGTTAGTAACAGACGGCAATATTTTGGTGGCAGGTTCTGCCATGGTATTAGCAAGTAAATATTTTCAGAGAGTTGTTCGCACTAAAACAAGAGGTTGAGTGATTTAGACAAATCTATAATTGTATAATTTTGATTTAGGTATGCACCTCATTTTTCACTTTCTCACCGCCAAAGCAATAAATCATCAATTGAAGTACAATGGACGCCAACAGCAGACATATGAAGGGCACATTCGCCGGGTCGGATAGGTAGGACAATTGATAGGCAAAAAAACAGATCGGCAAGGACGAAGACGTAACTTCCAAGAATATGATTGGCGCATAAACAGCATCAAGCTCCAAAGTCAAGTCGATAATTTCTCGATGATAATTGACGAAAGCTACGAAATCACGATTAAAGTTCGGATCCTCTACGTGCAATTGTAAAAGCTGTTCCAACTTTAGGCGCATAATTTGCAGATGTGCCGAGATATTGTAAACGAACCAACCGAACAGACCATCCACAATGATTATGGAGTTCGAACAGAATTGCACAAGCAAAACGGTGAGTATAAGGGTTAATATAAAGTAGAAGGGTGAAGTATAGTCATAGGGAAAGCTATGTCGAAAAAAAAGAGCAGGTGGCGTTAAAGTATTCTTGCGTTATTAAAATGGCCGACTCACCTGCCTGGCAGAGGGAGTGTTAAAACCACTTCATTATACCATATATAGTAGTAGAGTAACTTTAATATGGGCAAAAGTACACAAATGTTGACTGTCAGCTGGCACGAGATGCTGTAGGCTGTTACGATCGGCAGCACCGTGCGATTTGTGGTATTCCATAATTCACGCTCGAATTTGTTGCCTTAACGAGCGCAGTCGTAAGAGAAAATAAAATAGAAGATGATGAAGATGTTATTATGATAATATTACTTATCGTCAATGGCATAAATGTAAGAAGACTTGTTTTGTATTCACCTGTCAATGCTAGTCGTTCTAACGCCTCGTTTAAGCGCAAGAGACGCTTCCGTCGCGCTAGAAAAATAAAATGTTTGCTCGACGAAGTAAAAAGTTGTGAATTTATTGTCACGGCGGCAAGTATTTTGTCCACATCTGTTAAGTTTTCCATTGCATAGGTATATAGGGCTATTGCCCATACTATAACCCCAATCATTTGAATGACATAAAGTGCAGGACGGCTGAAAATACACTTGGAGCCACTCAGATCAATATTGAGGCCTACTCGTTCGGCGGCTAAATTGGATATTTGTATTAATTTAAATTCATTCGATAAGAAAATTTTTGTTTTCTTGACTCACCACCAACTATCGGCTTTATATCCTTTAAAAGAGTTATGCGCATTGTATGAGAAAATTGACGGTACTAATTTTTTAGTAGACGGCAACTGAATTATGACTTTATATACGAAAAAGTTTATCCAAAACCTTAATGTCGTAGCAATTATCACTGAAAGTTGGAAATATTAATTACAGTCCAACGTAGAAGTGTTAATTTCTCTTTGAAAGTGCAATTAAAAAGGGTGTACTCGACAAGCTTACCATAACAGTGTTACCGATAAAAAAAATTCTATCGAAATTTTGAAGTTTGGGTTGTTTAAAATAAAAGAATTTCAGAATAAATCTCACAGAAATTCAAAAATTTGCTTTTTGGGGGAACTTACACATAAACCCAATAAAGCAAGAGTAAAGTTTGTTTCTTTTTGGTTTCTCTCTTTTGTTTATCTTTCCAACCTATAAATGTATTAAGACATGATTTGGAAAACTTGAATTGTTAACCTTCGCATTTAAAGTAGGACGTACATTTTTTCAGGAAACAATTATTCACAACTCATGGAAGTTTTAAGAAATAATGACTTTATTATAAAAAGGGGCCGTTTCAACCTTTGCTATGTTAGACATTTGACCGAGTTCTTCAGCTCCACATACTTGTATGTAGCTCATACTATATCACCTGGTTGATTATCAACAACAGCTTCTTGCCATTCGCCATTATTTCAATATTCAATACTGTCTGAATGTGGTCACATAATTTTCGAACCTACAGCAAACAGAGTGTTAGTCACATACTTAACTCACTTGGCTACGGTCTGCCCTATTTGGCTTCCGCGCTGTATTTTTGAATTTCTATAAATAATGTAGAAGTTTTAAAGACTTAATTAGTGAAAAGCTTTTCATAGTCATTCATGAATTTAGTGTTTGAATTTTTTATGATGTGAGTAAAGTAATGAATTATATTAATGGAAAATTCCACAGGATCATCGTTTAAAAAAAGACTCACTCAAGCTTTCTGAACCCGAAAATAGCCAAAACTCTAGGTGCGATAGAACTCCAAAAAGAATATATTCTTTTTTTCCAGCCCCAAGCCTCAGCTATAACAAAAGTCTTTAACTCGGCCGGGGGCAGCAGGCCAAAAATAATAACGGCAAAAATAATAATGCAACAAATTTGACTAGATAAATCTGACGGGAATGAGAGCTTAAAGTCACTTACCCTTAAGATGGAGCAATTATCTCAATATGAAAAAATAAAAAAATTTCCATATAACATGATGGACCCACTTTACCCCTCAGCCATCATCGAATTCCACGGTTTCTCCGTTGCCTCAGAGAATACGTATGCCGCAACACTCTATATACGAGTCTTAATCGGAGCCGAAATATGGTCAACTCTCTTCTTATAAAAAATAAGAGCTGCTTGTATTAAGACCGTATCGATAATAAGACGATGTCGCTGTTATTTCCGAGAATGTCGGAGTCAATTATTGGCACCACGTCGATAGTTAAGACAATTCCGCAGACTTGACAAGTAGATATGTGTATCTACCGAACTCTTGAACTGCAACCCCAGGTGTCACGCACCCTATTGGTGCAGGGTTGAAAGTATTCTTGAAAGGCTTTCTTATCTTTCTAAAGCTATTCGTGTCTTTGCACCAAGGAGAGGAGAGACTCACTACTCGAATCTCAATCTAATAATTCAGATCCAAAAAACACATTTTCGAGAAGAATATGAAGCTTTGACCTATAAAATCCAAATATCACTTGTTTTACTTATTATATATATACAGCACCGAGTTTATCGTATAGGAGCACCGGAGTTTCCCATTGTCTCAGTGTGTGTATAGTTGACTTCTTTGACCGTGAAAATGTCATTGCTTAGTTAGTAGATATGATGTTTCTTCCTGGGAATTCTTAGCCACATTCCCAGTTTAACAGTATAACTTTCCCCTCTTATTGGATAATAGAGATAAGTGTTTGTGAGACATATGACAGTCTACCTAGTTTAAATACCCATATAACCAATTTTGAACCGTGATAAGAAATATTTTTGAGTAATTCCACGAGCCTTTCGAGTATTTTTTATTTGTTAAGTATATGCGACAAATTCTTAAAAGCAGTACTAATTTAGAATAATGCTGAGTGAAAAGCATTTAAAAACGACTTCAGATAGTGATATCTTTAAAAAGCCAGCTAACAGGCCTATTTTATAGCAAATTTATCTTATGAGAATCTTATTAAGGCGTGCGTTTGTTATAATGAAGGTTAAGAGCATCGAATTTCGCCACAGAGTAAATTCAACCCAAAAAATGGTGTTTCCATTAAAGTTGGTTACGAAAAATTAATAAACTTCCCACATTTGATAAAAAATGGAATCGATTCCTAAATAATTGCGTATTGCTGCAAGCACCTCAAAGCCACGCAAACAGTTGGTATGAGTTACAGAACTTTCACACAATTTAAATATACAAATGCATATTTTCAGGCGATTCAACCGCTCGGCGTATTAAAGGTATATCTATGAGTATATACTATAACGGTAATTGTGTTATTATGTAATATTTGAATAACGATTTGTAGACAAAACAAATTGTCAACAGTTAAAAGTTGGTGACGCCTTAAATCTAATGAGACAATCAAAATAGAGAAAATTGGGCTTAAGTGGCAAAATGGAAAAGTTGGGTGTTAGCTAAATGAAACGTGTACTTCTCACTGTTATGGCATATTATGTCTGAAGTTTGGTTTTCGGCAATGTGAACTAACGTGTGAGCTACGTTTGAACAGTGTAGAAAAAGGAAGTAAGGGAAAGCATGTGTGTTATAGCATCGTATGTAGTTAAGGCAAGGATTCCAAAACACAATATCTATTCCATATATTCTATGTACAAGTATTTACGAGTATGTACAATATTAATATCTACAAATTCAACACAAAGTTCTAATTTAGATTAAACATCTTATGATTTGGTTCACGCGTGAAAATATGTCTTCCAGTGTGTAGTAATAAATTATTATTAATAAATTTGTATCTTGCAAATACAAAATACTTTGAGTTTTACAGGGATAAATACAGCGTTTAACATGTGACAAAGGTTCCTGTAGTTGTGATAATACATTCTCGTTTTCTGTAGCGCCAGCACTACAGCACTTAGTTTGTATGTTTTAAGTCCAAATCTTATTTAGTGTTGCAATTGCACGTCCATTTGCATCAAAATCAATCATTTTTGTTGAGCCTTTGAGAGAGTAAAGTTACCGAATCACAGCGTCGCAAAATGTTCAAGAGCGATTTGGGCATTAGAGGTTATTTCCACTTACAAAAATTTACCTTCCATCGCCTCGGCATAGATATGACGAATAGAAGTGCTCGGGTGACCCAAATATATTTTTTGACTCTACAAATCATCGCTTTGAGCACCATTCTAATTCCATTTGCGGTTTATAGTTGGCAACACATGCAGGAGATTGTCGAGGTAACCAATGCAATGGCGCCTTTTATGCAGGCTACCATATCGCTTTGGAAGATTTGGCGAGTCATTTATAGACGTAAGCAAATGGCGGAAATGGTAGAGAATATTTATATGATATCGGCCAAAGGTGCTTAAAAAGAAATACCGGAATTTTTGAAGAGAAAAAATTTAGTTTTTGTAAAATTGTTCTTTCTTAAAGCCTCGACTAAGGAGCTAGCTCACTTGATTCAGGAGAATAATCGCGAGCGGCTAATGAATACCGCTTACTACTACTCGGTATTGATTACTGGCATGCTGGCGCTCACAGCTCCCGTTCTGGTCAGCTTCATACAGTATCTGCGCTTCGGCGAATTCAGTTATATTGTGGTGCTCAAGGGCACGTAAGTATAGTGTCGGAAGCAATTTTCACAATCCTTTTCAATACACTTCTTCCACAGCTATCCGATCGATTATGCGCGCCCACTAAACTACTTTCTGATATGGCTGTGGAGCGCAGCCGCAATCTATGGCGTTATTTATGGCTCAGTCTCTGTGGATAGCCTCTACTCTTGGTATATACACAACTTAGTCGGAAACTTTAAGATACTTCAGTCGAAATTGGTCACAGCCGAGTGGGCAACCGATTTGAGTGAACGTCGCGAAGAGATTTATTATTGTATTGCGTATCATCAGCGCATTATTGCGATGACCGAGCAATTTAATATTATTTATCAGCCTATAGTTTTTGTGCAATTCTCACTTAACGCCTTGCAGATCTGTTTTCTAGCCTATCAGATTGGCAGCGGTGTTGTGGACACGGTGGATTTACCATTTCTATTCTTGTTCATGATTTCGGTGGGCATACAGCTGATGATCTATTGCTATGGCGGTCAGCATTTGCAGAATGAGGTTAGTGTTTGAGTAAATAGGTCTGCATGCAGAAGCTAATTTACCATATGTTAATATATATTTTATATAAATAATAGAGCGTAAATGTTTCGAAGTCCATTTATCAGACTATAAACTCGGCGTCCTGGCCGAACGAGCTTCGTAAAGTTCTGTTAATCTCGATGATGCGCGCACAGAAACCCAGCAAACTGACTGGCATATTTTTCGATGTTGACTTGCCGCTCTTTTTATGGGTATGTAAAGCACTTTCGCAGTTTGTTGTTATTTTTTTATATCTCATAAATTACTTATTGTAGGTTTGGCGCACTGCTGGTTCTTATGTGACTCTCTTGCGAAGTGTGGAGCAGAAAACTATGTGAAAAGTGAGGGTTGAGAGAAGAGAATATTTGAGTACTTTGTTTAAGTGCTCACGAAGTTTTTATTTATTTAGTCAGCGTAGCGTTTAGCCGTACTTTAGTAAAAGCTATACTTAGCGCGTCCTTTCACTAAACTAGTCACTTAGTAACATAAATAATATAGTAGTATTTCCTTAGCTTCCTTGAATACATTGTACCTTAGAAAAAAATTTTGAATAAATCGTTTCAACGTAGGAAAATTGAAGACGTGTGTTAAGAATTTTTTGTATATCAAAGGTCAATGTTGAGAAGCTTACATAATTGAGATATCTATTTCGAGATTCTACAGTTTCACTGAAAATAATTTTTTAACAACTTAAATCTCAAAAAAATTAAATTCTTCTCGAATGAGAGTAGTGACCCTAAAATCTAACACAAGATTTTACCACCGGTTGACTTTATCACAGTTTTAAATTAAAAATAATGCAAGGAAGCATTCTCAATAAAGTTCTGCCTTATATGGCTCTCCAATATGGTTATTGTTATTTGCATTCTTCTCTCGCAACCGTTTTATGGACACTCACTCTAAATTTTTTCTAACAATAATTGTGTTCAATAGGCACCACTAAGATCCACTTCACACTGAGACCCATAAAGGAATGACTTAAGCTATGAATAAGTATATCCTTATGAGAAATTTGCAGCTTCTTTGACTAAGTTAGGTTAGGTTATACTGGCCGGCTGTCCCGCCATACATAGACCTATTGGTTCTTAGTAATCCCAGCTGGAGGTTTAGTTTGATTTGAGGTGAACTATTCGTCATATAGGACGTCAATGCTTTTTGCGAACTTTAAGAGAGACTTGATCGGCATCCTTGATTCGGCTGTCAGCCTTTTCGGAAATGTCATTGTATATCGTTTTTAGTGACTTCCGTATTTCCTGTACTTGTCCGGTAGCCAGTCGGATGACACTTTTGGCAATCTCATCAGATATTTCGTTTCCCGGAATTATTTTGTTCCCTGAAACCCAGTATATATGCATCCGCATTATCTACTGCTTCCCTGCTTCTAACAACATTCTCTGACGTAATGCGATGTGAGAGTATTGCCTTAACTGCCGCTTGGCTATCGATGTATATATTTATACCTTTTATGTTGTTTTCTGCGTTGTTAGCTACTTAAGTCACTTTTTTCACCGTAAAGACTTCCGTCTGGAAGATACTGCAGTATTGTGGATCCTTAAGGGATCGCTTGAGATCCAGCTTCTAGTAATAGATACTGGCTCCCACCTTATTAATAATATTTCATCCTTATGTATAGATTGAGCTATGCCCGAAGTTCCTTTGAAGAATTCCCCTAACGCCGCCAATTTCACAGCTGGTTATGCTCATGGTTTTCCGCTGCAATGTCGATTAGTGGTGGGTTGGTTGGCGGGTTTGATCCTCAATTGTTAACTCAACCCCGTTGAGCCTCGGCGGTTTCCAGGTCGGGATTTTGTACCTCCTTGTTAAGAGTACCATATTCATCTCATCGGCATTTACCTCTAAACATTTTCTCTGACAAATTACGGTATTTTAATCGACGATATATTTGTTTAGCTCTATCGGTGAACTTTTGATATACTTTTCAATCATATACAGAGCTTCTTAAGTAGCTTAGTGGTAGACTTGTCGACCATTATACTAATCTTAGAGCCTACCCTTTTTTTACACAATAATTTATTGAGTATTGATATCCAATTAACTGTAAACTAACACTTTAAACGTTTGTAAACAACCAGTTTAATAATTGCATCGGGGAAATCCAACATCATCGTGTAATAGAATTTATCTGATCACCAAATGTATAAATATACATAATTAACCACAAAAGCTGGTAGAACAACATGAAAATCACCACATACGACAAAGAATTGATTGCAAAAGGAAAAGAACAACAAGAAAATAAGTGAATGGTTGACAACAAGAGCACCAACGAAGACAGCAGAGTCAGCATTGTCAGCCGCAGCAGAAGAAGTAGGAAGTGATTAAGTCCATGTTAAGGAACCCACCAAACCACTTCCCCACTACAAAGCACACAACCAGCTTTAGCTGGATAGTTCAAATATTATGTAAGAATGTTTGGCAAACATGTTATGCAACCAGGAAGAGATTCATAGTACAAATAGATAAATATGAAAAGTTTCATAACCCTTTTCGGGAAAAAATAAGGCTGAATTCGATGAAGGTAATATCAAGGCTGGGATAACAAGAAGTTAGGAAATATTTGAAAGAAGCTGGATAAACTGTGCAATGTTCAAGAAATATCAATATTTGCTTAGTTTTTTATTTATGAAGCTGATATTTTCATGACTTCAGAGGATAAAGTATACACCGTAATAATCATAGTTTAAGTAGAAAAGAACATGCAGTACTCTGTTTAAAAAAATAAAGAGTTTGAGAATTCAACTTTATGACCCCGCTTTAGCTTTTCCAAAAACCCGAACAGTGAGGAAGCTAAAACCTAAGGTAAACTCTATGGGTAGCTGATAGCCTCCATTTTTTCAAGATTTCACAAAAACAGAGAATCAATAAAACCGTAGCAAGAAAAATAAATCTGCAACCAAGCAAAACCAACAATTCATGTGTCATCCTGCTTATAAGACACCTACTTATATACTATACAAATGTATGTATGTATGTATGACAGGGCATATTCTTAAGCGCACAAGATCACTTCTTGGATGAGCTGGTGCCGCAGAGCTTTTCATTTGCGTCCGAGTCGCCCAACCAGCTGGAGGTCTTGCGCTTGCAAACGGCAACCAAACGTCTTAGCAACACACACATACACCTTTTACTACAGACACTCGTGAGGGCAATGTGCAAATTCACCAACCGTCTCTTTGTCTTCACGCTGCTGGCGCTGGTGACGCTGATGGCGCCTGTGTATGCAGCGGCTATGCGTGCGCAACACAAAAGCGCTGCAGATCCGAAATTTTTGGATCTTCTGTCGAACGAGGACAACAATAACTACAATCTGCATTACGATCAGCGGCAGAAGGGTGAAGAGAATTTGCATGTGCGCATGAATGGGTTCTTTATCGAAATGCCTGATGATGAAGATAAAGATACGGCCGACGAATTGCAGGAATTACGTAAGTAGAGATGTTCAATTATATTAGTTAATATTGTTTAATTATAACGTAAATTTCTGAAGTATATTATGCCATACTCTTTGGTGGGAGCGAAGAAATGTTTAAGCATTTGATCGAAAACAAAAAAGGCACCACACCAACACCCGCCAGCTTGGCCTTGAGTGAGTTTGGGCTTTTAAATGAGAACAAATTGGACGCGGAATCACATTCTATTGGTCAGCAGAGTGATGAATCGGAAGCAGCAAGCAAACATAAGGCAGAAGGCCGAAATGTGAACCCCGTTAAGGGCAGTGATTTGGTGGCCAATAATCGGGAGCCAGAGACGAAGCGCGTGGGATTGATGTGAGTAATTTTGAAAATGTCTTACACAAGGGATTGAGAACTACACTGATTCTATTCGCTAAAATGTGCTTTGATTATTTTTTGTAGCACAAAACTACACTTTAACACTTTGCTGAGTTTGCTTAAGCGAATGCAACGCAACTGATTCTTGGACACCGCTTTACATCTCCACAATACCGCTAGTATATAAAAAAAAGTTTAAAACATGAACTGAATTTTTCATTATACATATCGGATATATTTACAAAAAGATAATGTAGCTATATGCGAATGTAAAAGGGAAGAGCAAAAGACTGATGTATTAATTTGTAATCATAATTTTTGAAAAATAAAGATAAACATATATATAGCTAAGTACTTAAGTGAAGGTGGGTTTGAGCAAAATTTTATAAGAAAGTACGAAGGTGAGTTGAAATCGAAATTAGGTACATTCGCAAGTCAAAGGAATTTAAAAAATAATTATTGAATATTTTGACTAACCGAATAGACTAACTAAAAGCTAACTAACTAATTGAAACCTAACCAAATTGACCGATATTAGTAATTTTTTATATGGTAGAAGAGGTACGCGCAGTTATGGACCGCTTAAACTTCTCTTCTAGTTAGCTCTCTTTTGCTCTGAAACTTGAAATAGTGGCATCTGAGTAGTAAGTAGGCGTGGTTGGGATCTTATTTTTTATATATTATATCATAACGATGATTTTAGTTTGTGAAAAAACGGCTTTAGTCGCATGTTGTGTTGTTGCACCAGAATTTAATCGATGCATCTAAATTCCTCTATTAGGTTAATCGCTCCACAGTTAGACGCACAGCCAGGCAGGCATTCCTGAATGCTTCTCTTTATTCCGCAATACAGACATCCCAAACAACACGTTTCAAAAATACAAAAATACTCATACAACAGCGAATGTGTTCATCATGTGCATCGGTCCTATTCAGACTTAGCGAAGCTTGTAATTAGACGCCGTTCACGTTTTTAGGTAGCCAACGATGCAATTTATTATTGTTGGCGGGAGTGTGGGCTTTTGTTGATTGTATTCAATTAGCGAAAACTACACTACTAATTTAGTATACATATACTGAAATGTTGTGCATTTATAAGAGTTTAACCAAATATGGTATATTGGTTTGGACAATGAAAATTAATACAATTGGGTTCAGTTATTAAAATATTGCAAAATATGTAATTAGGGTAGCATACATTTGGGCGCAATAAATTTATTAAGCATGAATACATGTATATACTTGTATATTGCTGTAACTTTAGGGACAGGAACTAATATACTTGTATATTACATAATACTGGTGGGCGGTTGATGTTTGAGCTAGCTTTTCCTGTCTATATTCTGGATATTATCCAGCAAAAGAAGATAGCTTATGGTTTTTTAGCTGACATTCAGTGGTAGAGTTTTACCAAAACCTATCGAGAGGAAACTAATACTGGAGGAAAACTTGAAAATATTAGTTCCACCTTGTAGAAAGCTAGCTAGTATCTCAAATCACAACAATTTTTTTTTTAATTTTGGATTCAATTGTTTCCGTAGCTGATCTTCAGTAGGACCTCCGTTAAAAGATGGCGAGGAAAATGCTTCTGCTTAAAATTATCTCAAATCCATAACCCAAAAAAAATTAATACAATTGATGAACAGATAACGAAGGACTTGTAAAGATTTCAGTTTTTGGATTTTAACAAAAATTTTATTTTTTGTGAACAAATTTTGCTTAAAAGATCCAAATTATTATCAATATTAATTTTTTTGTCAATCATTATCTAAGAAGTTGTAGTGAAAATTTCAAGCGGATCGTTCTAGCCATATGAGAGAATCTTTATTCATCGACTATGAAAATAGCGTTTCGAGAACAACTCGTTTAGAGTTTAAGGAGTCGGTTACACTGAGTTAAAAAATGCTTACAAATATGTACGTCTCTCCGAAACTATATGCCCGATCAGCTTCAAATTTTCGAAGAATATTCTAAAATTTGTGTGAATTCGATATGTATGCTAAAATATTCCATTTTTTGAAATTCCACTTAAATAAACATTGCTTTAACTTACCCAACCCTTGATCACATTATGCCAAAGTTTTCGAAACATTAAGCGCCTGAAAATATGCATTCACTTTCGTTTTATAATAATAATGTTTCATTTGCCGACTAACTTTGAAGGTCGTTTTGTTTGCCTGTGAAAACATTTGCCATTGTTATCATAAATGCCTTCAGCCTATAAGTATATTACATGCCGACAGTTGCTATATTTTGTGCTTTTCCCGCCATGTCTGCAACATTGTCTGGGTGTTGTGTTCACCTTTTACTCTCAATGTGCACTCACACACAGTTTTTGCATGAATACGTATACGTTTGTGTGTATTTATCTCTCTACATTCACATACATATATATGTGTACATGTTTTTATGCCCGAGGGTACTATTTTATTGCTATAAATTTTGGCAAAATGTTTTTACAGGTAAATGAATAACAACAGTTTGCAAGTTCTTGTGGCTACAAATAAACTTTCAATGACAGCCAACTTATGTATCTACAAATGTATGCACATATATATGTATCCATTTATGTATGTTTCTATGTAGTTTATGGCGTATGTGCGAAGCCAGCAAAATGTGTTTTAATGGCACAAAAAACTTTTCAATATACAAAGCTGGGGCAAACTAAATTAAAAGCACTTTGATGTCGAAGTTGTAAAAAAAAATTAATTATTTTTTATATAAGATATTTATTTTATATACTAAATTAAAGAAATTAAATTTTTTCAATTATAAATAGTATATATCTTCGTCTTTACATCCATTGAAATCTTGTATTTCTTCATAATTTTATATTTTTTAATTTTATTTTTATAAACTATAATTCCATTGAGTATAGCAGATTTTATAATCGAAATTGTTTGGATATACAAACTTCGAACACATTTTCTTCGAATGAGTATTCACAGTAACCCTCATGATTCAAGCTATAAATATTTGCAACCCTTGTCATGTCACTTATTCGTAGTAATTCGGAGTTCAAACGGTTACAACTTTTATTATGCAATGTGCTGAAAATAAGGGGTTGTTTATGGGTCAATATTTATATTATTCCCAATTGGTTGCAACCTTTGCTAGTGTCTACTTTGGCTAAGTATCCTTTTCTGGCTTCAGAAAGGATGCTAATTCACAATAGAAGTTAGTGAAATTCGAATTATGGAAGACTTATGTATCCTTGAAAAACTTACAAAGTATCAAAGGTTTGTGTACGCAATTAATAAATATAATTCATTTTGTTTTCTGTTTTAGGAGAGAATGTTATTCATTAACATTCAATGCTTTTCTATTTATTAACATTCTCTGGTTTTACTGTTGAGCTTCTTTCTGTTAATTTTAAAAAAATAATTTTTAAACAGAGCACTAACAGAGCATGTAAATAAAATTATGTTATGTTGTATGTTAATTAAATTAGCTTTTAATAATATCAATATAACATTCTTTGATATTTCATCAACATTCTCTATTTTAACATTATTTCCTGTTTCCTTTTCTTCAACAGTCGAGTTTCCAATCTCAATCCTGAATCTACTCTAAATTAGACTTTCTAGCTCTCACTTTGGAAGTATTTGTTTTACATATTCTGACATAAGCGCCACCCTATTGAGTTTTACTCATATTTTATAGCTCTGATTAGTCATCATCATCATCATCATTAGTCAACATTTAAAAAAAAAATGTTCTTAATACTTGGTCAGTCATATTGATGCACTCATGGAATTAACTCGAGTCGGCATTGCGTTTTGGAAGCGAAATGGGAAAAAAATGAAATAAAAACGAAACATTTAATTCACTTGAATTTATTCGCCGAGAATAAAACATGAGATTGTCTGGATGCTTCATCTATTATGATATTCATAGCGAAGATTTTTATTGTTTACACAAACTAGCAATATTTATAGCACTGTAATTTTAATTTGAATTTGTTGAGGGCATAAGTCTCCTTCTGCATCTGAAAGCAGAACGAAATAATTTATCTGATTTTATTCTTTAGATTTATGGTTCTATGCGCTAAATATTTAAAAGGAGTAAAATAAAGTAACAGCACTGGAACCTTGAAGTAAACATGAGTATGTACGTGTGTACACTAGGAGTCTAAATACTAGTAAGTCGACTAACCTGTGAGATTGTGTGCCACCCGCAGACTGTGTGCCAGATAAGAAGCTATCACCTCATTAATTTGAGTAACAAGACAATAGCAGCAACAAAACAATAATAATGGGGCACACAACAAGCAAGAACATGGACAACTTACGCCCTTTAAATATGTATATGAACACGCTAAACTTTGTTGTCTGTGCCGCAGCGGCGTTGCCACACAATTTACTTATAATATTGCAACCGCTAATGTTACTCTCGTGCGCGCCAAGAAACATAAGCAAACAAGCTAATATGCGTATGTATGAACAAGGCTTTGCGCCTAAAAGTATGCAATTTCGCACAGCACTGTTGTATTTGCTGGCTGTTGTAGTGCATAAGTGTATGTCTATGTAGTAGTGAGATTGTTAGCAGCGCTCAGCTAAAGTTGCCGTTAACAAAGCCGCCAAACTTTAAATGGCAACTGACGCGCCTAGAGATATGCTAGCGCGCAATGGCGTTTCTTGCAGATCTAACAACTTGTCGTTGAATTTTTATTTTATGTTTTTCCTAGTCGCCAAACTTTTCAAACTTAAACACTTGGCAGCGCCGGCGTGGTTGTGGCTGCTGGTTTAAACATTTTTCTTGGCTATTTCTTCAGTTTTAATAAATTTTCAGCGCTTACTATAAACTGGAGTTAGTGCATTTATTTTTTCAAACAAATCGCATTCTGCTAATTTATGGCGAGCAGCTAAAGTCTGCTAAGAATTTTGTAAAAGCACATTTCGGCGTACTAAAATGCATTTTAGAAATTCAATTTGCATACTAAGACTCTGCCCGCGCTCAGCGCTTCAAGCGGCGCCGCAGCCGTTGCTCTGTTGCGGCATGTTGTCGCATATGCTGCTTGTTGCAAGCATTTGTGGCATCGTAACTTTGTGGTTTATCCTAGTTCGTTTGCGTTTTCTTTGTACGTATGATTTTTGTTGTTGCTTTTTTATTTACAACTGTCTGATTGCATTGCATTGCATTCTCTCTTGCAATTTGATTTTAAGCCACTTCCCCCTTGAATCGTCGTTAATTTAGTCTTTGTACTCAGCGCTTTACTATCATTTACAAGCTTTTACATTCACACATACATTGAAGCTAAAGTGCGGTATTTTATACCGTTTCTCTCCCACATTCATGTGGCTTGTGGCGCTTTGTTTATGGCATCCGCAGCTCACCGAAAATTACTCAAGTGAATTCA